GTGTCATTTTAAATCTCAATTGTTGATTTCCGTCAATAATCAATAAGTACAATTTATCCCAACAATTTAACACCGAACGTCAATATAACAAAAATGTAAACGTTGCCCACGCCACCCATCCTTTTTCACGGTCACAAATTAAATGTTCTTTTGAATAATTAAGGTACTAAAATTAAATTCTCCCCAACCAATTGTGATAAACCCCCTTGTCATATCAATAATAAATTGTAACGAAGAGAATCAGATAAGCAAGATTGATGGATCATAAAACTCTACCAGTATGCTCTTTTCATGATTATTTAGGAAAAAATGTTTGTTATTTTAAAAGAGAGATAGAAACAAAATAATATTTTTTATTTAAAATTTAAATTAAAAAAACCATTCATTTTCTTCCTATGATTTCATTTCTTGCGTCTATCTCTCTCCTAAAATAATATAACTTATGTGATTTAAAATGACAAACATCACACCCATATTTAATTTCTTGTTTCTGATATATTTTCAAAGATAATGTGACAACAAAAAGAGAGCTTGGATTCAAATATGAAGAGGGCATGTGCCCTAGGTCAATTGGTTAAATTGTCCCTTGAAAATTTCATCAATTTATCTTACTTTTAAAATTACATACTAATTTGTACTCGAGGAAATGACAAACAAGTGCATTAAATTAGCAAATTGATCAAATTAAAATTAAATTAACATTAAATTTGAAATTAGTATTGAATTAGAAGTTATCATTAAATTTATTAGGTCAAGTATGCTCTAGGTCAATTTGCTTAATTCTCCCTTTAAATTTTTTTATCAATTTATCTTGGGGCAATTTTCGATGTATATATAACACGAGATTATTTTTCTCCAAGAACATAAGAAAAATATTTTCAATTATCTTACTTTTAAAATTAGGCTTTAATATTTCTACAGTGAAAATAGATAAATTATTTACATTCCCTCCCAAAATGATGTCGTTTTGTATTGAAAATTTAAAAAATTATAATGACAAAAACTATTTTAACCCTGAAATAAATTATAATTACAAAAATATCTTTATTTTTGCCCAAAATGAGATCATTTTGGGCAAAATATAGATAACTTATCTCCATTGACTGTAGAAAAGTGAACGCTTAAAGTTATGGCTTTAATGTTTCTACAGTAGATACAAATAAGTTATCTACATTCACTCTCAAAATGACGTTATTTTGAGTTGGATTAATAAAAAATTATAATAATAAAAATTATTATAATTTTATATTAAATTACAATTATAAAACACCTTGATTTTCGCCTAAAACGACATTGTTTGGGTTCAACGTAGAAAACTTAAAAAATGAACCATAAAATTATATAATATTTTGTACTCGAGTAAACGAGACAAGTGCATTAAATTAGCAAATTTATCAAATAAAAATTAAATTAACATTATATTTTAAAATAGTGTTGAATTAGAAGTTATTATCCCTAAATTTATTATGTCAAAAAGATATAATTTTTTGAAATTTTGAAAATATAAAATGTTAAATTTATTGTTGATAATAACAAATTGGCTTTTGATTTTTTTCCTTTTACTCCAAAAAATTTAAACCACTCTATTTTTTTAACAAATAAATCATATTATTATTTTTATATTTGCAAGAATTTTAAAATATAATTATCATTTGTGCGATGATGTTTTGAAATTCCAGCAAATTTTAAAATATCAAATTTATTATTAATAATGATAAATTAACTATTGATTTTTTTTGTCCAAATCTAATTTTTTGATAAATAAGCCTTGGCGCTGAGTTAGTGGGGTTGGATATGTGTTCCATTCCCGCTGAATGCATCCTTGAGGAGGGGGCTGAACCTTTAGCCATCACTGACCCCGCACTCCGGATTAGTCCCATAGCCGGCTCAAAGAGTCGAAGCTTGAGGAGATACCGGAGGGAGCCAACTCGCCTCAAAGAGGTAATTAGGGTTGGGTAACTCCAAAAAAATAATAATAAGGAAAGCAAAATAAATCAATAACCAATAATAATATTATTCTTATCAATATTAATAATATGATTACACGATGATATTATGAAATATCTACAAATTTAAAAATATTAATTTTCTTATTGTTAATAATATGATTATTAATTTTCTCTCTCCTTATTTGAAAAACAAAACTAGTGGATTGAATTTTTTATTTTCGAAAATCTTTATTAATTTTTCTATTCTTATTTATTTGATTAATTTTGGTTAATACAATATTTTTTATGATATTTATTCGAGTAAATATAAAATAGCAAATGAAGCTCCTCTATAAAAAGCTTACCAAAATAAAAGTCCTCTACGAAAAAAGAAGAAGGCAAGATCACGTGATATCGGTGTCAAACTTTTTAGTTTGACATCTTTTTTTAATTATTGATTTTCGTGAATCTAACAATTATAATTTTCTTGGTCACATTTATTAATGTGATTTTGACTTTGTTGTAAGATTCTGAAGTTTTACTCTTTATCTTAACTATTGATTTTATAATTATGATTTATTAAGTTATACCAATTAATTAATTAATTATTAAGTTCAAATAAACGACAATTGTTAGATGAATGACAATCAACAATTGAGATGAAGAGTAACGCTTTTAAATTTTACATTGGAGTCAAAAGATCACTCATATTTATTAATTAATTATTAATAAATTATAATTATTAAATTATTGAAAATCATTGATTAAAATTTAATATCAAAAAAAATTTCAAAAAAAAAAGCAAATAAAGTCACATCACATGTAACCTCGCAAGCACCGACACGCGATTTTGTGAAATTTTTGCGTGTTGGACACGTGTCCGACACGCGGTCAACATTTGGGGACACGTGGTCAACTCTTTGACACGTTCCGACACGTTTTTTGGACATGCGGTCAACTTTTTCGGACACGCAGTCAACGCTCGGACACGTTTTTTTTAATCATAATTTTATTTTATTAACTAAATATAAAAAATAATTTATAAATAATTTTTTTTTATTATGAAATTTGACATGAAAAATTAACAAAGTACGAAAAATTATTTTTATTTATATTTATGTTATAAAATTTAAATATTTGATTGGTTATATGACTTATTATGGACTCTTATATGTATTAAATATAAATTATATTATATATATTAAAATTTTTATTTAATATCAAAACGTGTCTCAACGTGTCCAAATATGACATTTTTTAGAATTAACGTGTCGGCGTGTCGTGTCGTGTTCCGTATCTGTATCCGTGTATCATAGCATGTAACAGATCCATTTAATTAACTTTCAGTCAAAGGCAGCTTAATATATAATTGGGAAAGCGATCAAATCGATATTTTTTTTAAGAAAAAAAAATTGATCAATTACCGGTGCTATATTCACAAGATTACAAAAGATGCGTTGAGGATGACATCATTTTAGGTTTTAATGAAAAGGAGAGGATATTGTAACAATCAAGTTGTGTTACTACTAAGTTATTACCCATCAATCTCACTATTAGATCGATTATGTTGATCCAACGGTTATATTTATTTTCATCTTTCTATGGACATGATTTCCCAAATTTAATATTTTATATTTATTTTCACCTTTGTATGGTTATGATTTCTCATATTTAATGTTTTCACTTTAAATATGAGAAATTATAACTATACAAAAATTGAAATAAATATAACCCGTTAGATCAATATAAGTGATCTAATGGTAAAATTAATTGGTAGTAACACAACTTAGTAGTTGTCTTTAATCAAAACCAAACCATTATTATTTGAGTTCATGGCTCACTTTACACGTGGCTGGCCACGAGCTAAAAAAAACAGAACTAGAGAAGCTCCATGCATATTTCCAAAACAAAAAAGAGAAGCTCCATGCACTATGATCGGCTAGATACGGCTAATGGCATCGGCATGCCTTATCGTAATTACAATTTATACTATTAATGTCTGTAATAGTTTTTTTGTATATAGTCAAAAGTAAAATAAAAATAAAAAATCATATCGTTTAAATTAGTAATTTGTTTTTCATATTTTAGTTGGACCAAAATAAATAAACATATTATGGAGCTCAATAGCTCATTATACTTCTCTTCATATAAAATTTGGGTTATGTTTATTTAATTTTACACGAGATAAATAACTCTTTTACACACATAAAAAAGAGTTGGGTCCTACTATTCTTTTTTTTCTCTCCTCTTACTTGTGGGTCTCACTATAATTTTATTTCCACAACATGAGATAAGAATTTTGCTATAATATAAGAAAAATATTTCTCATAAACTTTTTATACATCAAAACAAACAAACAAATACACATATAACTTTGGAAAAAACTATTCTCTTGTTACATAAGATAAGTTTTTCCTTCTACACACCCTTCAATAACTGTGTCACTTTTTTTTTTTTTCAGGTGATGAAGCCCACAAATTTATCTCTATGACATGAAATAACTATCTCCATTAACATGAGATTAATAAAACTCTATAACTTTATTGAAAATGAAATGAAATTTTTAATTTTGACAATACATTGTAATGAAGTAATATTTAATGTACTTTTCTACTATCTCTTTTTCTTGAATTTATTACTTCCTATAAATAAGTATAAATATCTTCAACAAAAAATATAATTATATGAAATTAATCTCTACAAACAAAAATCAATTTCGCAGGATGATAAAAACCTTTTTAAAAATATAATTAAATTATTCGAATTTAATACCTCTTATTATGATTAAATAATAGTTGAATATTTAACTAATTCGCTTATAATGTCGGTAGATTTGTTTGTAATTTTTTTTTATAATTCAAGAAAAGAGCTATTTCTTTCAAAAAAGGAAAAAGAAAATAGATCAAATTAATCTAATCTTCATTTTTGTTTGGTCGTTATCTAATTTTCCATTTTGAGCCCACAGAGACAGATCTAGGATTTTTCTCATATTTTTTTTGTGTAATTTTATTTTTCATGTTTATGTTTCTCTCTCACTTCACCTTTGCTGTCATTTTCTCACTATTCCACATGAATAAGAATCTTCGAGTTTCCCATTAAAATTCGGCTTAAGCCAATCTGGGTTTCCGTCACTGTGGGAAAAAGTTTGCGACTTTGTGGATTTGGATTGCTATTGTTTCAGTGAGTGATGGGGAAGGTCGCGGTGGGAGCTGCCGTTGTTTGCGCCGTCGCTGTTTGTGCCGCGACGGCGCTGGTGGTGCGCCACCGGATGAGAAGCTCCGGAAAGTGGTCTCGTGCCGTAGCAATATTGAAGGAGTTTGAGAACAAGTGTGGGACCCCAATTGGGAAGCTTAGACAGGTGGCTGATGCTATGGATGTTGAGATGCATGCGGGTCTCGCATCTGAAGGTGGTAGCAAGCTCAAGATGTTAATCAGCTATGTCGATAACCTCCCAACTGGGTTCGTAGATTTATCTTCTCTCTCTCTCTCTCTCTCTCTTTATCCCAATTGGCTAACTTCCCAATATCAATATAATATCTGTTATTTCTGATTGTTTGAGACACTCAAGGATCAAGCTTGGTCTCGGATTTGTGGTCTGTTTGTTTGTCTTTATCACTGCAACATTGATGATTATTATACTTGACATGTTTAATATATTTCTTTTTATTAATTTATTGTTAATATATTCTATGTTCTGATATAATGTATAGGCTAAATTTGTTCAGTAGTAGTTTACTTGTTTATACCTTTTTGTTAAAAAAAGAAAAAAAGCAGCTGACTAGAGCTTCTTGTTTATTAACATGGTGGGGTTTTGGATCTCAAGCATGATTTATATGGTAGAATGGTCAGATGATACTTGTTAATGGTTCAGTCCCACTTGATGATAAATGTTTATTCCTAAAACATTTGATTGTTGATATTGTGTTGTGAAAAACCCCACGTCAAGATGCAGAAAAAGAAAGTTTTGAATGATTAAGTATTACATTGTAGTCTCGTTGATGGCAAAAATATAAATTTTGTGAAATATGAACTTGTTATTCTTAAAGGTTTCCTCCATTATTTACAGGGATGAGGAAGGACTCTTTTATGCACTGGACCTTGGTGGCACAAACTTCCGTGTCCTTCGTGTACACTTAGGTGGGAAAGAGAAACGTGTTGTCAACCAAGAGTTTGAAGAAGTTTCAATTCCTCCTAATTTGATGACTGGTTCTGCAGATGTAAGTATGCTATGGGAAATCTATCAGAGTATTGATCCTGGCTACACTCTGATATATACTCATTATGTTGTTACAGGGATTATTTGATTTTATAGCAGCAGCTCTTGCCAAGTTTGTTGGTTCAGAACCTGAAGACTTTCATCCTCCCCCTGGCAGACAAAGAGAGCTGGGTTTTACGTTCTCATTCCCAGTGAAGCAAACATCAATTGTATCTGGGACACTAATAAAGTGGACTAAGGGTTTCAATATTGAAGATGCAGTAATTCTTTTTACCTTGATTATGTTACATTCAATTTTGTTTGTGTTGCGATTCTTTCTTGTTGTCATTTTTCTTGATCATACTGTGATCCATAGTCCTGAGACTTGCATGACTCTCTTTCAGTTTGACACACAAACTACGACACTCCTTTTGTTGTGGTATTAAATTTTGGGAGTCCAGATATTACATTGCTTACCTCATTATGGTTCAAAATTGTATCATAACTTTTCAAAGAGAGAACTCTCATCTGCTAGTTTTCTCTTTGTTTATCAGCTATTCTCTCACTGAGCATGGTAATCTAACAGTTACTCCTTTATGGTTTATTTGTAGGTTGGTGAAGATGTGGTGGGACAACTAACCAAGTCCATGGAAAAAATTGGTCTGGATATGAGGGTTGCGGCTCTAGTCAGTCCCACTCTCCTCTCTTTATGATTTCTTGATTTTTTTTAGTCAGGATAGGAGAATGATGATTTCCTGTTTGTGCCTGACAGAAATTTGGGAGTTATAAGGTTTCATGGTGTCAGTTTTTTATTTTTAATAATTCTTGGCATCTTAATATCTTAAACCGGAAAAACCTAACTTGGTGATGTGATGTAGGTTAACGATACCATTGGAACATTAGCTGGAGGCAAATTTTACAATCAGCATGTCATTGCTGCTGTGATTCTTGGTACTGGGACAAATGCAGCATATGTAGAACGTGCACATGCTATTCCAAAATGGCATGGTCTTATACCGAAATCAGGAGAGATGGTAAGTAGGTTATGAATATTTATGTCTCTTAATTTCTTGTGTGATAGAACTGTCTTTACTGTGATACTAGAGACTGGTATTGATTTGCTGGTGCCAAAGCATGCTGATTACTTCTAAACACTATAGGTTATAAACATGGAGTGGGGTAATTTCCGATCCTCACATCTTCCTTTAACAGAATATGATCAAGCTTTAGATACTGAGAGCTTAAACCCTGGAGAACAGGTAATGATCATCTATTATATTCATTGGTTTAAATAACCAATGTGAATCTGTAACATTCTTCCACTATTGTTTTCAGATTTTTGAGAAGTTGATTTCGGGCATGTATTTGGGGGACATTGTGAGGAGAGCTTTATTGAAGATGGCTGAAGAGGCTGACTTTTTTGGAGATACTGTCCCTCCCAAACTGAAAGTTCCATTCATACTTAGGTATGATAATGTGTACCGTCAAACAGCCAGTTTTATTTGTCTAGGTTGATACTTGTTTATGTTGCTCTCTGGCCTTCTTTTGCCAGGTATTTTTTCTTGCATATCTACCTTGCCAATAATGGTTCTGATAGTTAGCCTGCTTATTAATTGCTTGAAATTAAGATGCATGCGCTGTTCAGAATTCTTCACATGGACCATATTAGTATCATGTATTTAATTTTGATAGAGTTCCATTCCCCTGTTTTCTTCTTGGATCTCATTTTTCAGGATCTCTTGATACAAAATTTCTTGCTGTTGTTGATTGGCGACCACACCATTAGCACATGTGTGCAGCATTTTATTTGTTTTGAAACTTGTAATAAGGAAAAGAATGATGCAATGCTAGATTTGGTTGTCATTGGGGTAGTTGGTACAAGAGGTGGGGATAGGAGAAAAAGTGAAATTGGAGGACAGAAAGGTTTATGCTGTGTAAATAATGGGAAAAATGGTATGGATTGAAATTATTTTCATCCCCCTTATTCATTCTAGGTAAAAGCATGGATGACTAAACATGTTTCATGCTGATAACATTATTCTCAAATGAAAATAAACAATAATAGAACCATTAAGATTTAAGAAAATAACTTTTTGTTTTTTATTATTTTTCATTTTTCTGGGATTGTTGGCATTACTTTTCACCTCATTTTGAACCCCAAGTTGGGATGAAAGTTTTTTGCAAAGAGTGGAATGCAAATGGTGGCCTTTCCATTTTCAGTTCTTTCTTTGTATTCTCATACCAACAAAACATACAAACGGTGTTCACTCCTCATTTTCACCATGTCATTTCCATTCTCTCGTTTACACTGTATCACCTATTTTGCATCGTTGAGTTGTATAACTCTTCACTGCAACACATTGTTTTTTGTTGTATTAGAATTTTAAGGGTTTTGACATCTTTTTGTATTAGGACACCTGACATGTCTGCCATGCACCATGATACAACTTCAGATCTGAAAGTGGTTGGAAACAAATTGAGGGATATATTAGAGGTATGCATGCTCTACTTACCATGTTGAAATATGGCTTTCATGTCTCACACATCTTATGAATTGCTTTTTCTTGAATTGCATTTGAAAGTTGGAAATTATGATGATAAACTAAAGTTAAACTCTCAGGACCTATTCTTTTTTATTTGTTATTTAAAATAAAATCATGCATATTATGTTAAGGGCAATAAAAATTGGCATTTCTGACCCCTCAAAGGAAGTGGATAAGTTTTCTTACTGCTTTCTTTATTGTCAGATCTCTAATACATCCCTAAAAATGAGGAAGATTGTTGTGGAACTCTGTGATGTTGTTGCTACTCGTGGCGCCCGCCTTTCTGCTGCTGGTATTTTGGGCATCATTAAGAAAATAGGAAGAGACACAGTTAAGGTTGGGGAGAAGCAAAAGTCAGTGATAGCATTGGATGGAGGATTGTTTGAACATTACAGTAAATTCAGAATTTGCTTGGAGAGCACACTGAAGGAATTGCTGGGAGATGAGGCAGCTGAGACCGTTGTCATTGAGCATTCTAATGATGGCTCTGGCATTGGAGCAGCTCTTCTGGCAGCTTCTCATTCCCAGTATTTGGGAGTGGTGGAGGAGTCTTGAAGTTATTGCTAAGGTAAAGACGTGTAATACTAGTTTCAATTTTTGCATACGTAATAGATCAAAACATTGAAGCAGAGATGCCTTAGTTACTGGTCCTACAGAGCTTTTTATCTGAGGTGGGGGTTATCTAGGAGGGCTCTGTGTTCTTACTGCAACCTTGCAGCTCCTGTGCTGGCAACTGGGGCATTCATTATTTTGGTTGCAGGGTTTATCTCTTTTACGTTAAGTAATAATATGAAAGATATAAACTTAATTGTGAGTAGAGTCACCTTTTGCGGAATGTAGTCTGTTTTCAGCGAGAATAAATCAGGGCTTAATGTGTTGACAAGCCTAGAAGTTTTTAATTCGTAGCTTTTCTGAGCTATCAAGAATAGGATGAGCCTAGTGGTGAGGGGTGTGGGTAGTTGTGTTAGGTGGTATGTATTCTAGTCCTTCCTCATGTATCCAAAACAAAATAAAGACCGAAGAGTTTTTGTTGTTATTATTGTTTGCTTAACTGAGCAACCCTTCCATTTTGATTATCCTGTCTGAAACACAACTGTGATAATTTTGAGTGACTACCGCTTCCAGAGCATTTTTTTTTTTTTTTTGGTAAACGCCAGAGCATCTTATAATGACGAGCGAAGTTATCATATTTTAACATAATATGATGTCTGGGAAGTGAGGAAAAATGTCTGCTGCCCGATTGATGTAGGAAAACTTAAAACAAAACTACAAGCATATTCTGAAGATATATAAATAGCTGACTGCAGACTCATGTTGAGAAATTCTGCTGTTTTTAAGGATGCCTAGCTAAAAGGTTAAAATAAGAAATAAGCTGACAAGTAATATTGTATATTTTACTCCCGAAAAGGGGACTGTTCCATATATGATTGCTGACGGTGGCAGATATTCATTGTATGTATAATTGTTGTATTTACCGAATAAATTAATCTTCCGGGAATCTTGGTGTAACTTATTTTTATTACCATTAAAAAAATAAAACTTGAATATGCCATTGGGTCACATTTGGGGCTATAGTATTTTTTTATTTCATTTTGTTTAAAGATAAGTTTTTTTTCTCAGTTAATTAATTGACACGTGGCTGATAATGGTAATGTAACGAACTTGTTTCTTAATTATTTAGTATTCCGAGAATTTGAGGCTGGAAAGAGTTTACTAAAGAGCATACAAAATAGAGTACTAAAGTGTGTTGGCCATGTATGGGAGAAGAAATAAGCTGCTCACGGCATAATAGCTGCATTGTGGGAAAGACTAGACAAATTACAAACAATAGGTGATGTTTGGTTGGGAGCTTTTTAGCGGATATCTATCTTTCTCAAGTATGACTTTTAGAAACACCATGTTTGTTTCAACGTTTTTCATCAAAAATCCATCTATCCAATTTGTCTGGATTTATGAGAAACATAGATATCCGCACTTTTTAGAAACCCAAATTGAAGGTGAGATTTTTCGAAAAACCGGTTATATGACTTTTAATGCACTGTTGATTTCATAAAATTACCTAATTTTCCTAGTAAAGTTTTTTTTTCCATCAAACAAATTTTTTTTATATTTTTCTACCTATCTCACTTTATCTATCTTTCTAATCATTTCTCTATCTATCTCATTTTCCTACTATTCCAAAAAAAAATTCTGAACCAAACGCCCCCCCCCCCCCCCCCCCCCCCAAGAGCTTTTCTGTTCTTCATTCAACCAAAACCCAATTATATTTTCCTTACGAACCAACTATCGGTATTGTTAGTCTCAATTTGCCGTTCGTCATATCTCCTATGAGTTACATTGATTTCTATTCTGAAATCAAGACAAAAGTTTGAGAAGCCCCAGTCGTTTGTCATCTTTCAGTATTATTATCCGACACTTGGACTGGGAAGCAAGGGATGCCAATCTACCAAGCTATCCTTATCAGTATTCCTATCTTTCAGGGACCTATGATCGAGTAAATATAGAGGTAACTTCAGGGATGAAGATTTTGATTACCTACCGATACATCTACCGGCTTGCTGGACCTGCACTTAATAGTTTCGTTTTATGATACATGCTTCTATAAAAATGACATACACAATCATTTTGGCGGTAATTGCTTAAATTTTTTGTTTTACAATGCAAAAAAAACCATTCATACAATGAGGACAATCATGTAGAAATATTCTGTGTCCTTCCCCAGTGGATCACAAAACATGCTGTTGCAAATGTTCCTTCCATTGCTCCACTCCAGAAATGTTTGGGCAACAAATAGATTTGACTAAACTAGGAGTTTGATGATGACAATGAGTAGGAATTGTTAACCTTTGAAGGCTTCATTAAGGCACAAGAGTAAAGATAATTTAAAAGCAAATCTTTTCCTCCGAATTTGGGTCCTACAAAGAGTAATAATGTAGATCGGACTATATCAAGGTCCGAGTTAACTAATGAAACAAATGTTTAGAGGTTTTGGATAATTAAGATAGAAGGAAAGCTCTCAATAGTAAGACTCATATATCAAGGCCAAACCTACGGCCAGCTACAACCTTTTAGCAGGAATTTTTGAAACCACCATTCACATATGCACTCCTAAAACTAAAAGTAAAGCAAAATAATCTAAATTGACCCAACTAAAATCATCACATATCAATAAGATCAAGTGTAGCCTATTGAACAATTAGAATTGGATCCAACTTAGATCATGTTTCAACATTTCTATGCTCTATATAAGCTTTCAGTAACATACTTGCACATACTTTATTTTAACAAATCCATCATACTCCAATGCACGCCAAAAGATTGAGGATAAAGTCTATGCAAGTATCATTATTCATAAAACAATGTTTCCTTGTTTCTCCTCCATACCACATCATCAGCGTATACTTTTCCTTTGGCAGGACTGATACAATAATGCTATGATCAAACGAGTTTCACTTTTAAATCGGTAGGAAATATTCTCAATGGCCTAAATTCTCAATTCACGACATTAGGTGTCTGAATTACATCAGCCATAATATAAAAAACTTCACATTGCAGGTGGACTCATTGTGTTGGGAAAGAAACACAAGTCCCATCTTTTGAGAGCATAGCACCTAGTAGAAAGCTAATGCTTGATAATAAAAACTAGCAAAAGTGATATCATATAAACAGAAATACAATACATGAGTAAAAAGTTACAATGAAGCAGTCCACCATACCATGCACAAGAAATCAAACTCAACAACCAAATATTTTATTACTTGATACAGAGAGCAGCACAGAACAGAAAGGATGTTGTTTTCAGGGTGCAAGAGAAACATTGTTGAGTCGCTCAAGAACCAAAACAAGTGCTTGAGTGCCCAAATTACCTTCACCATGAGCCTTAAGAGAAACATAAAGTTGTTGAGCGAGAGCCAAACCAGGCAAAGCAATACCCATGTTCTGACACTCCTTCAAACAAATCCCCAAATCCTTAACAAAATGGTTCACATAAAACCCTGGATCCAAATCCCTCATCAGGATTCTCTTCCCGTACAAATCAAGCGACTTTGAACCCGCTGCACCCGTAGATATAGCGTCGAGGTACAAACCCACGTCAAGACCAGCCTTGTGAGCATACACCATACCCTCCACCAACCCCACCATCGTCGAAGCTATCGTTATCTGATTCGCAAGCTTCGCGAATTGCCCTTTCCCACTCCCACCCATGTAGTTCACCTTCCCCATCAAACTAAACAATGGCTCCAGCCTCGCAACTACTGAATCGTCTCCTCCGGCGAAGATTGCTAGGGTTCCGTTCTTTGCGCCGCGATCGCCGCCGGATACTGGTGCGTCGATGGAGTGGCAGCTTTTGGACGCTGCGGCGGAGGAGATTTCGACGGCGAGGGAGGGTTCCGATGTGGTCATGTCAACGAGAATTCCGCCGGAGCGAAGTCCCGCGAGGGCGCCGGAGCTGGAGTCGAGGAGGACGGAGCGAACGTCGGAGGGGTAGCCGACGATGGAGAATACGACGTCGGAGCGGGAGGCGACAGCGTGAGGGGATTGGGCCAGGTGGGCTCCGATGTCGATGAGAGGTTGGGCCTTTGAGGGGGTACGGTTGAAGACGGTGAGGCTGTAACCGGCTCGTATGAGGTGGGCGCACATGGATTGGCCCATCACTCCGGTGCCGATCCAGCCCACTCGCGTGTTTGATGGGCTTATGGGCTCGGCGGCGGCCATGAAGTGCCGGGCGATAGAAAGAAGGGAAGTGTTAGAGTGGCGGATACGACGGCGGAGTGAACGGAAATGTAGGAGTGGCGGATACGAGGGTAATGGCATGTCTATTGTTTTAATTGCCACATATATATAATATATTATTTTCGCGTCCGATTATCCTGTTGTTGTTGTTGTTGTCTTGGACGATGTTTGAGACTTGAGAGTTGTGAAGGGAAATGGAATCCAACGGTTCATGGAGTATTGGATAAAATAATCAAGGAGATAAAAAAAAAAATGACATTCTCATTATTGAAAAGTGAGGTTTTTTTTTTTTTAATTTTTCTCCTTTCTTTCATTTACATTTCTATTTATGTCACATATTTTTTAAATGGGACCACCGAATTTCAGTGAAATATTTTTCTTCATTATTATTATTATTTGTCTATATAAAATTCCTAAATATTTTAAGTGTGCTGGGATAAAATTTCCCATTACTATGTAATAATTGAAATTAACTAATGCTTATAATCAAATATCTTATTTATTGGGTATATTACATTTCGAGGACCAATTAGATGTAATTATTAAGGACAAAATTGATAACAAAAAGTTAACACTGAAATACTAATTTAATATCAACAAGGGATGCCCTGGTAAACTGATTTGATCTATTTATAAATAGACGACTAATACGATGTAACATGTATTTTTAAAAAGTAAATAATAATAAAAATTTAGTCATGTTTGAATTATCAAGTTTTTAATTTCAAGAAAATTAAAAAAGAAGAATATTACTAAATATCATTTAAAGGGCCGTTTGGTACGTGATTTTTTTTTAAGATTCTCTGGAAATTAATTTTTTTTTAAATTTTAAATTTTCAGATATTATCGTAAACTGAAGGTAAAAATCATATTTTTAAAAAATTGAGATTCTCAAAAAAAAAAAAATTCTCATCTACAAACTCCCAGATGAAAAATAATCTTTGCATTCATGAGAATTTGCTGGAATTACTCCTGTTGGAACAGAGAATGACCGTTTACAATACCCATCGGGCCTATGGCCCTCTTTAATTACAAAAAGAAAATAAAATAAAAAATCATAATACCTAATACTATATATATTAAGAGTTTTTTATTTTTTATTTTAAGATGAGGTCAAATTTATATTTTTTATTATTTTATACAGAAAAATATTTCTATATGCACATAAGTTATCTGTATTTATTTTCAAAACAACGTCGTTTAAGTATTGAAATATTAAAAAACTATAATTATACAGAAAATAATAACCCTGAAATAAATTAAAATTACAAAAATACCATAATTTCCACCCCAAAACGATATCGTATTGAACTTACTACAGATAACTTATATCTGCAGAAATTGCGAACCCAATTTTATAATGATTTTTTTAGTGAATGAACTTATGAACTTACACTAATAATTTTTTAATAAGAATATATACTATTTATGTCGATTGATTACTATAAATATATAATTCAACTCCTTATATTCTTTTTATTTTTTAAGAATTTTAAATTGTTGGACAAATTTATAGTTTGTAAAGTTAATTTTTTATTTTTTTATTTTGCGCTTTTTAAACTCTATGTTAAATTCTTAAATATCCGCTCATGTTCGTAGACTCTGTACAAACTACAAAGCCCTAATTTCACATCAATGGAACGCGGATAAGGTACTTTCATGGTAGCTCTAAAACTCACCTCTTTGCAAGTGACATGGTTGTTCCATCCCTAATCCATTGTATCAATATTTGAGATTGCTACCTGGGTTTCCATTTTGTAAACTTCGTAGTTCTCCTGCTATTTCAATGTATACCAATATTTCCAAAGCTCAGGCATTTCCTCTCGCCACTAAAATCTCTTCGCAACCCAGATGCTTTAATTCACTTCCCACCTTAAAGTCCCAATCTTTACCATTTGTTTCTCATAAAAAACCAATCTTGAAGAACCCCAGTTCACTCGAGCCCAGTTATAAATTTGGATCCTTGGAAATGGGAAAATTAGCGAATTCATATGGGTTGATGCTGCGAATTGCTAGAAGACATTGTAGCGCGAGAAGTTTCTGTGGTGCAGGAAGTGCTGAAAAGCAACTTCCTTGGTTAGTTGCTAATGAAGTTAAGGAAGGTAAAGTGATGGAGAAAGCAAAAACGACTAAGATTAGTAGCTCTAATCAGGAGGGGTCAGCAAAGAAGGCAAGTAGTAAGTCCTCTTGGGAGCAATCCATTGAAAGGTTAGAGAAAGCAACAGTTCCAGAATCAAAGCCGGGATCAACAGCAGCAACATTTTCTGTAAAAAATGGTATTTCAGCTGCAGCAAGTAAAGAAAGGAAGAATGGGGTGGTTGAGAAGGTGAGAGAGCATAGAAGTGATCATGGTAGAAGGTATGGGAAGTTTGATGATGATGAAGAAGAAGAAGAAGGGGTTGATGATGAAATGGAGGAGGCTGTTGACGATCCTAGGTGGGATAACATACAGAATAGGTTCAAGGGGATGGTGGGAGCTAAAGTTGGATCAGAAAGACCTGAATTTCGAAGATGGAATAAGCAGGAAAATTGGGGTAGGAAGACATGGAAAGAGACCACAGAATCCACTATGCCGAAGATTGTTGGTGAGGGAATTTATGGGGTTGGTCCAGTTTTGGCTGCACTGTCAGCTGGACGAAGGGAATTCTATGCACTGTATGTGCAAGAAGGATTGGATTTGAGTAGCAACAACAGGAAGAAGAAGGACAAGAAAGGGTTTGAGAAAGTTCTGAAGTTTGCTGAAAAGGTCAGTTTAAGTATAAAAGAAGCATCAAAACATGATCTGAATATGGTGGTTGATAACCGTCCCCATCAGGGTTTGGTTTTAGATGCTTCGCCACTAGAGATGGTGAAAATAAAGGAACTTGACCCTGTTTCTATTGAGGAGGGGAAGGGTTCCCTTTGGGTAGCCTTGGATGAAGTTACTGATCCTCAGAATTTGGGGGCAATAATTAGGTCTGCTTACTTTTTTGGAGCTTCTGGGATAGTGTTATGTGCCAAGAATTCAGCCCCATTAAGCGGTGTTGTGAGCAAAGCAAGTGCAGGATCGCTTGAATTAATGGAACTTAGGTATTGCAAGAATATGATGCAATTCTTAGTGTCTTCTGCTGAAAATGGTTGGCGAGTTCTTGGGGGCTCTGTCTCCTCTAAAGCTATTTCTTTGGATGAGGTTGTGCCTGGTCCTCCAACTATTCTTGTTTTGGGCAGTGAGGGCACTGGTTTGAGGCCTCTGGTGGAGAGATCATGTACTCAGTTAGTTAGGATTCCTGGGAACATTCCTTTTGACTTAAATACTAGTGAATTGGAAGGTGAAAGTACTGGTTTGAATTGTGAGAACTCTGGTAAAGAGTTCCTGTCATTTTTGGCCGTGGAAAGCTTAAATGTTAGTGTGGCAGCAGGTGTGCTTCTTCATCATTTAATTGGGAAAAAGTTGGTAGATTCACTGCCAGACGGGCATAGACAGAATGATGTGTCTGAGTGAAACTGCCAGGTCTTAATTTATTTAGTCTGCTGTCTCCTAGTATCTTCTGATGGGGCGTTAATTTATTTCTTTGAATACATTGTAGTTTCTCCTTTTTTATCATTTGATCATGTAATCGTATTACAATCATGTTAGCAAGTTGGTCTGTGTAAAACTGGAGTTAATTAACAGTTTGGTCTGCATTTTAACTTGAAGACTATATATAGTTGACACCATTATTCAAATCAAAGAGAAATGATCACTTAAATTGAGAGTTGATGCTTCCTTTTGGGTATCAATTTGAAGTTGTCTTAGTTTATGTATTTATAGTATTTTAAGTTTGAATTGTATTGTTTCAAGTTTCAACTTTTAAGTTTTAGTCTTTTAGATTTGATTTTTTTCATTTACAACTCAGGTTAATAATATTTGAGAATTGAAAATCATCATTTTTTTTTTTTATTGTTTTTCGTTCTAGGGAAAAAAAGTGTTTACCAATACGATGTTGTTTTGGGATTAGGAAAAAAATATAGTGTAGTTTGTAGGGGTGATAAACGAACCACGGGCTTTTCAGGGGCCTTTGGCTCGGCTCGTGAAGGCCTGAGCTTACATGCCTAAAATTGGTTGGAACCAGACTTGAACTTGTATAAAAGCTCGTTTAATAAAAAGCCTTGGGCTCCAATTCAAAAGCTCGACCTTATAGCCTCTCAGGCTGGCCTGGTATATTAATTTTAATTTTTTATACTACTTGTAATAGTCCTCTCTCTTCTCAATCCATTTCACCTTATTTTATTGGTTAAACAATTTTTTTGAATGATTTTGTTCTATATTATGTTGTTTGGATATACATTGAATTTATGAGTATTTATAGAATTATTAGTCCTGTATATTCTGTTTGGATAAATTTTTGTTGTCTTATTTTTTTTAAACATGCTAAATCAGGCTTTTATTTTTTGTAAATAAGTCAGGCCACATGTCGATAATTATATTCATAACAGGTAACAGACTTGGTCAGACACATTTAAACACAGACTTAACCTTTTAAGACCAAAGCTTGGCTCGGCCTGGCCCGTTAACACTCCTAGAGTTTGGAAGTTTTACTTTTCTTTTATATCATGAATTTTATTAAAATACCCTAAATAAGAGATAACTATCTCATATGATAGAAGAAATGTTAATTCCTTAGTTTTATTGTGGTTACTGGATCTATGTGGTAAAGTTTATGAGATAGTTGTTTCTTGTCCTAAATTTTGGCCATTGCTCCCACTTAACATGAAATTAATGGTCTGCTTATTATCCTAACTTTAGCTGAATCCCTATGACTTCATAACATCTAGCGTGTTCAACTTTGTTAGTTAAATATACATAACCCTCTATCTGTTTCAAGTCTGAAGTTCAGAAGGAGACATTAAATTTATATATATATCTATATTATTTGGGGTACTTCATATTGGTTCCAAATTGTGCCCCTCTCATTTGTGACAGTAAAAGTGACCTAGAGATGAAAGTTTCGGACACATGCCCACACCGCCCACTGTTCCTGGTGTTTCCTGAGCTCAATCCACCGAGTATCAGAGCCATGATGCTTCAAGCTCTTGTTTGGTCTCATTGATGAGTGGCGAGGTATCTGAATATGTTGGTTGATAACCGTCCCCATGCAGTTGCAGTTCCTCTGGATCGAGCCTTAGGATACGCAATATGCCTTGCATTCCAAGGTTCTGCAAATAATGGGCCATTGTATATATTACCCGATAAATATTCCATGATTAGGAAAAGGGTTTATTCTGAATCCTCTAAACAAGATACTGAACTGCTTTTATTTTTTTTGGGGTATATGTACACCCGATAATTCATTATTAATTGATCTCATACTTCCTAGTCCCAAGCAAGGATTGTATGATCCGTAACATTCTTACACATTTTCCTGTTTAGTATTAAATTTGTTAAATTCTCATTTATAAATAGCAGTGATTCTTAATATTCTGTAAGATCTGAAGATGGTGGTTAATTGCATTCTCCTTTGCAAGAATTGTGACAAGAAACACTCCCCCAGTCTCCTATTTAGTGTTAAATTTGAGAAACTTATCATATAGCAGCGATTGTTAGTATGTTGGAAAGACATTTAGCGACGTGTGGTGATCAGGATAGATTATTATATTATGTCTTAATCCACAGGATATGATAAGTTTTCCGATTTAAGGGAGGACTATGTTAGGATTAGACATGATACGATGACAAATGTTATATCCCTTTCATTTCAAATATAGTTATGTATTTTTCTTATGAATATTGTTGGACGAGTGATGGTTAACTCTTAATTCTTATCATGGGCTAGCCACTTTTACTACCCAGTATCTGCACCATCAGCTATCACTTAGCCACTATCTTCACTATCGGCATTACTACGAGTTACTAGTCATCACCATTATCATCGTTGTTTCAATTGGCCACTGTCACCACCACCTTGGGCCACTGGCACCTCCAATCACCTACCACCAACCATCACCGCCGCCTCTGCCAACAGTCAACTGCCATAATTGTCACTAGTCATCTTCGGCCTAGCCCTATCACCACCACCTGTGCCACCAGCCCCACAATCACTGCCACCATCACACTAGTCGCCGCTACCCTTACCAAGCGCTATTATCACTGGTCACCGACGGTCAATATTAACAATGGATTTAAAATTTAATTTTTAAAAATTTATTTGATAAGGATATATATTTTTTTTATTTTGAAAATTTTGCAAGTCTCTTATGTATTTTAATATATTTTATTTAAACTTGTGAGTTTTAAGTTTTTTTAATAATTTAAAATAAGAACTAATGTATAAATAAGGGGGTTTGCATTTGTCATTTAATATGACACAACAAACTTTCCTACACACACAACATTTTGTGGGGCTCACACTTTTTGAATAAAAAAAAATTATGGCACGCAAAACGAATCTCTATAACATTACACAATCACTTTTCCTACAACATAACTCTTATAAAATTAGGGGTGTTCGCGGTCTAGATTGGATCGGTTTTGGAAGCAAAAATCATCCGATCCAATCCCTTCGGTTTGATCATATAATCATCCATTCGGTTTTGATTTTTTTTCAAATCCGATCCGATCCAATCCAATTTTTTTCGGTTTGGATTGGATCGGTTTTCGGTTTTTTGAAAATCCTAAAATTTATTTCATGATTATTGTGCAAATAACATTTTTTTGTATATATTGGCTTTGTAAATTTTTTTTTTAAAATACAAAAGCATTAGTAAACTATAATATAATTTTTTTAATTTTGGCAATGAGATATGGAACTCTACAATGATAAAATTTTATTGATGAGATATGATTAGATTTTTCTTAGGTTTAGTTGATGGGTTAATGAGTCTTGGGTTTAGAAATTTTTAGGCTATGATTAGGGAAATACCCAAGTAGGTAGAGGGAAATTAATATATTGGATCGGTTTGGATTGGATCGGTTTTCATCAACCCATCCAAAAACCGATCTAATCCAATTAAAATTTGCGGTTTTTAATCAGTTTTCGGTTTATTCGGTTATCGATTTTTCGGTTCGGTCACCGCGGTTTGAATCGGTTTGGATCGGTTGATGAACACCCATATATAAAACCCATAAATAAGTGAAAAAAATTTCAATTTTTTTTTGAAAAAATGATATGAAATTATGTTAAAAATAATGTTTTTGTTAATTTATATGATTACATCATATAATTCAACTCGAACACTAGATATAATAATATTATTCTATCAAATTACTTGATTGGTGCATCAAACATATGATAAGATATCAACTTATCAATCTCATATTCTTTTCTATTTTTATCCAACCCTCTTGTTCTATTATTTTATTTGTATTCTATCCTATTTGCCTTAACATATTTGAATGATAGCAGAAATATCACCGGAGAAATGCCAATTTTCATTGATGGCTCTTAAAATTACTTTCAAGCAATGGTGTCTCTCGATAGGATAAGCCACCTAGGTGAGTTTTCACTTTGTAAACAAGCTAGTTTGGTGGGGAAAATAGAATTAAGTACAGTCTCGTAAGCTTTGTATGTTACCCGTGTTTGATGCGCAAAAAGATAAAATATGAGTAGATAAAAAGATTTGTGTATTATAATTTTATATAACTTTTTAAATTTATTATTAAACTATTTTTTATTTTAATTTAATTATATATAAATTTTATTTTAAATTAATAAGAAATTTAAAACTTTAAATAAAATATATTAAAATAACTTACAAAAAAATTTAAAATAAAAAATTATATTGTCATTAAATAAATTTTTAAAAATAATTTTAAAATGATTAGTATTGATAAATGACTTTTTTTTGGATAAAGTATTAATAAATGATGATCGTGATAATAATAATGATTACCACTGGTTGAGGACTGAGGTGGTGGTGATGGTGAATGATAACAATAGCGGCGGTGACAGTGGTCATAATCGATGATAATTGCTGATGAACAAATATGGCTGCAGCTTGCAGTAAATGAATATGGCTACAGTGACTAGAAGAAAAAAAATATGGAGACCAGAAAAACTACTTTTGGGAGATAAGATAATACAGAGCGGAGAAAAGGCAATAATAGAGCAGCAACACATGAGTGGAAAAGCACCCCACTAGATGCCCAATAAGGGAAGTGCTTGTTTTTTTCATCGCAATTTGCAGTTACAATTATTCAATGAAGGGATTATGGAAGTGAAGCAGCTGGTTGGTAGCAATTCTTTGACAACAAACATATTACTTTTGATTTAAAAAAGTGAATGCCTCTTAACCTGTGTCATATGTAATCCTACCGCAAAGTAACAAAAAAATCATTCTCTACTATTGTTCCTAATAAAACCATTGAGGTCAGATTGTTGCTGAGCTAGCATAAATAATAAAGTCAAGAAAAGACCGTCAGGTTAGAATTTTTTACTTAAGTTACAAATCACGCCATAGATAACGCTGGCAATATATACATACATTGCAATGGGCCACGTGATGAGTGGTATTCCATTAGAACATCAAAAGCAATGGCTGGCATTACCATGTGAGTAAGGTGGGGGCAGTTACACATGGATACCAAACTAAATCTCTTGATGTGGTCCATGCATGCCTCTTCTCTCTTTTAATTTTCTCTTTGCGTTTTGCAAATTAAGACGATTACAACCGTTGCGGCTTCAGTGATGCCACCCTGATTTCCAAGGTCAAAATTTTGTTAACTGTAGCATTATTGTTGGTGACTTTTTCTATCAAATAAATGAGGAATGTTATATTGCCTACCACTACCAGTTTAATCTTTCTATCTTTATTATCACTTTTGCACATCATTATTGGATGATGATATCTAAATCATAGCTTTCCAAATATGTTGTATCTCACTAATTTCTCTCGCTTTCTTCTCTCGCTTCTCTGTTTTTCCGTTCTATTCAAGTAACCAATGCTTCGTTTATTATATAACATTAACCGAAGCAATTTCATTTTAATATCATCTATGTTGTTTTATATAAAATACAATCTTCTGTTTTGGATTTTCTACTGAGTATTAATAGAAGCATGCTTCCTGGATTCCCACATGGGCATTCCTTAGAAGAACCATATTACTAGATGAGTATATTGCTTTCTTGTTTAATGTTAAATTCCATCACTGGCATCCTCGAATTCTATAATTGAAGGGAAAAAAGAAAGAAAGAAAACTTAATGAACATGCAATAGAACAAGGAATATGCATGGTATATGCGGATGCTTTTGTATCTTCCGTGAGTAGTAACCTCATCTCCAGCTTTTTGTGGGGCAAAATGAGGCTTTAACAGGTGTAATTATACGTAATAACACGACATTCCAAAGAAATAATTTTCAATTTTGTACCACAGAGACAAAAACATAGGCAATTTAGCATCCGGCCTACACAAAGGCGGTCATCCAAATAATTTAGATGTGCTAGGTTAGACCACAAGTTAGGGTTCACATGTCCTTTTGTTTAAGGTTTGGGACAAAACAAATTTAAAAATTCTAAAACACGCAGTTTTAAAAACATAAAAAACAAGTCCATCAGATTTAAGGTTTAAGTTTTAGGATGTCCACGAAAACTTTTTCAGATTTTTTTTTTTTTAATTTTCGTTTCCGGGAATAGAAATAGATAGAAAACTTGTTTGGTAAAATCTGTTTACTTTTTTATTCCTAGGATGAAACGATTTAATTTTTGCTCTGAGAAATAGAAAAAAGACTAAAAAAATTTCTATTTTTTTTTGTTCTGGCCACATAATGAGAAACACTTATCTCTCTTAATCACTCTCCACTACTACCATTATAACCATCGTCGCCACAATCATCATACCACCACTGTCGTCGTCACCACCACCACTATCACTAACTACCACCATGCCACCACTACTACCATTACCATCACCACCACTATCACTACATTCACCACCATCGTCACCAACCACCACTGCCTTCATCATCGTCACTGCCCTCGCCACCACCACTATCATTATCACGCCACCGCAACCATCACTACAATTGCCGCAGCCACTATAGTCATCACCACCACCAGTACCATCACTACGCCACTACCACCACCACTGTCACCAACCACTACCACTATTGTCGCAACCATTGCCGCGTCACCACCACCACCATGTCATTACCACCACCACTATCATCACCACGCTATCGCCACCGCCACCGCCACTATTATCACCACCGTCACTAACCACCTGTCTCCATGCCATCACCATCGCCACCATTACCATCACCATCGCCGCAGCTACTGTCGTCACCACCACCTCCACCACTACTACAATCACCACACTACCGCCACCACCATTGTCGCTATCGCCGCCGCCACCACCACACCATATGAAAACAAAAGTGATGATCCAAAAATTCTTTATGCTTAATAGGAATAATTTTTTATTATATTATTTGTCGTGTTATCAAAAGTAATTCTCATTCTCGGAATAAAAATAGAATATGTTATCAAATACATTTTTTTTTTCTCAAAAATTGTTCCAAGGCATAGAAATAGAAAAGAATTATTTCTTTTCAGAAACAAACAGTGTGTTAGTAAACATAATGATTGTTATGCACACTCTTAAGTTAAAAAATTATAAATCTACAAATTAAAAGAATAGTAATTAGTTTGGTTCAAATTTAATGCGAAATGAACAAGTTATCTAAATTAAATTGAACTCAAAAAAATTATCACAAAAAAAAATGAACTTGATTTGAATTATATAGTTAATTAAGTCAATTCGACTTGATAAACACTACTAGATTAGAGCGTGGTTATTACTTAAGAAGGAAAACATAAATTTAATTTTAATTTTTAATCAATGAAAATATTATACTTACAATCTATTTTCGTTTACAACTTCTTACAACCATATCTTAATTGTTGATTTTCGTCAATCAACGGTTATCATTTATTGTGAATTAATAATTAATTAATAAATTTTATTTGCAAAAATCTTAACTGTTAATTGACGGAAATCAACAATTAAGATATGATTATAAAAAGTTATAAACAAAAATAAATTATAATTATAACATTCCCCTTATAAACTTTACACGCTATTGTCTTCTAAAATATACATATCTTTATCGTTACTTATAAAGTTACATGTAACTAATAATAACCCAAAAGTGAAGGGACCATGTGAATTGTGAAGGATGTTGTCGTTGTACAGTGTCCCCAAAAAAACAATTTGCGATTGAAAAGCGACGTAGAAAATGAAAGATTCGGATCCTATGAAAAGCACCTTCTTTGTTTCTTCCATGGCTCCCAATAAGCATGTGACATCTTGCACCCTGCCATTCTTCTCTCCTTCTTATATAACCACCAATCCAACGGTCTGTCCCCCCCACCCCACCCCCTCCCCTCTTCATTTTTATTTTCCTCTCCAAAACAATAAAACTTGAAATAGTAAAACATAGTAAAGTTCAAAATTTTCTCTCTTTAAATATAGAAAACATCATAAACTTATACATAATAAAAAATATGATACTGTAAAGAATATTCCTATTAAATGCTTCGATTAAATTATATATCTTCTTACTCAAGAATCATCTCAAATCTTAAATTAAATAAGGATTTGATTGGTTAAATATAAATTAGAGTGACTAATCAAATTGACAGTAGCTTAACTGAAACATGAGAGTTGAGGTGAGCAAGTGAGAATAATATTATGTGTTTGATCTTTCAATACCATATTTGAAAATAGTTTAAAACTTTAATCCTAAACTTATCTCGAATAATATTACCTCTTATAAAAAATATTTAATAATTTATAAAAAAAAAATATAAGAGTGACTAAACCCTAATCGAAGAAATCATTATATATTACTAGAGAGTTACATATTTTTTTTTTATACCTAACTAATAAAATCTCAACTAAAGTTTATTATTTTTCTCTCCTAAATTTGATTAGAATAACCTATTTCATTAAGAAAATAGAGATTCGATTCTTAAAAATAAAATGTTATTTAATCAATAATTTTAAATTAAATTTCAGCTATCGTTCAGAGAGAGGTCTTTTCTTTTCTATCTGTTGCCAGCTTCAGTTTCTCTCTCAATGCTGCTCATGCCCATCTGAGCTAGAGAGAGAGAGAGAGACGTATCCGTTTCAGAGAAAGACAGAAACTGAGAGAGAGAGAGAGAGAGACGCAGCACAATGTCTTCGTTGGATTTGTTCCTCTTCTCTCTCAGCAGAACCTTTTGTAGTCCAATCGCGGTTTTCATTCAGATCCAGGTTTCCCTTTTCTTTCTTTTCGATCCATCTCCTCGAAACCCCTCGTCAATAAAAATAAAGTCTTGATTATGTTTCTTCGTTTTGGGGTACTTCCTTCCGAATTTTTCAACAAAATGAGCATAGGTCCTTTGTTTCGCTGGAAATTCGGTTGAGCTGCTCTTGTTTCGTTTAGTTAAAATCCCCCTCCCTCTTTGAATTCAATTATTATTATTTTGTCACTTGGTTTTGTTCGATTCTAACAGTTCATTCATGATTAAAGCTTTTTTCAGTGTTAGATATTATTTCCTTCTTATCATCCCATGACTTATGCATTATTAGGTGATACAATGTGAGCTTTTAGCTCTTCACTATCTCTATGCCAGTCCGTTTCTGCTTGGTTGTGATTGAATTTGGTCGGTTGAAAACTATGCTTTGTGTGTGTGTGTGTGTGTGTGTGTGTGTATTGGGGGGGTTTACAAAGGGTGTTGGGAGGGGAAAGGTAGACTAAAGTGGTGGCCTCAGTTGGATTTCATCTCCGAATCAAGTAGTTGTAGTTCCCAAAGGTGCTTGGTGACACATGAGTTAAGGCTCTTGGGCAGACAATTATGCTTTTGGTTTAACAACTTGGGGCAATTGGAAGAGTATATGAATTTAAGGTTCTTTCTGGATTGCTGTTGATATTGATACCTGCTGCCACCAAGAGGATTGAATGATTTAGATTTGGCTTGAGAAACAATGACCTAGTTTGGCTTGATAGGATGTGTATGGTATTCAACTATACTTCAATGCATGAGATTTAGCTGTACAATCTCTACTTTCTCCCAGGAATCTTTTTCACTGATTTTATTCTCCAATCACGGTAGTTGAGGTATCAGCTTGTTGGTTGCTTCCCACCTTTAGTGTTCATAGGTTTGACATCCATAATCCCTGTAGTTGAGATGTCTGGTAGGCTTTAAATCCACATGTATAATATGCTTGCAACACAAGCAACATTCTAGAGATAATAAGTTCTACCTTGTTGCAAGGGCTTTTTCCGTTGAGTTGCATACATAGTAGTTAATAGCGCTGCAATAGTACCGCAAGCCGCGCCGTATGGGCGTTGCGATGCCTCCCCGCAAGAAACTGCGCCGCGTCACACCCGAACGCAATAGCGGCCATTGCGATCGCATTTGCGGCCAAATTGCAGCCATATTGCTGTCATAAGGCAAAATGTCAATGTTGTCCTAAATTTAAATGTGTAACAGAAATTTTTTAAGGGTTTTTTAGTCTATCTGCGTCTCTCTTTGTCACTTCTGCTATCTCTACCTTTAAAAAATGTTTCTTTTTGTTATTGTTTCTGTCATATATCTATTCCGCTATTTCCGCAACCGCAACCCGCTATAACGCTATAGCGTTTTTCGGGGTTGGCCGCGACGCGCCGCAATCCGCATTTGATAACTTTGGTTGCATATCAAACTGAAGTTGTGAAATTGCATGCTTATTGAACAAAATTTAATTTATGAATGAGGTAATGGAACCTTAAGTATCAGAATATGGGCTTTGTATGTTAGCGGCAGTGTTAGGTAGAGAGATATAGCTCTTGCGTTTTGATTGCATCATTGCATGATAGTTTCTCTCGTAAGTTTCCTTGACATCTTACTCTGTATTCCTCCGCGTTTGGTGCTTAAGAGAAGAATCATGATAACATGTCATAAAAACCTGAATTTTTTGTTTGCTCTGCAGGGATGTTTAATTTGCTTAACACTTGCTTTGGGGTGGGCACTTGCTGCTTATGTCAGGTACTCACTGATGTCAAACAAGAGATAGGAAATACACTCATTGTCATGTCAATGAGAAAATTACAGCATTTTTTCCCCTCACAGGAACAGAGAGATAAAACAAATGAAGGATGGTATGAAGAATGGCAATAGCTTTTCTTTCCTTTATCATGACATTAATGAACTTGAGCACTCCAATCAGGTCTATCTTCCAAGAGTGACAGTAATTATGCCCCTAAAAGGGTTTGGAGAACACAATCTCCATAATTGGAGGAGTCAGGTGAGAAGATATAACACATGCCCCTGGAACTTAATTGAGGTTTCTTTTTTTGGTTTCTCTGCGGTGCCTTGTTGGTTCTCTCGTGAATAAACATTATGATTTGAAAATTTAAAATTTAATTGAATCTTATATGTATTTATGTATTTCACATACTTTTTCTTGCATTTTCCTAGATTTCTAATTTAAATTATATTTCTTAGCATTGTGGATGTACTATTAATTATTATTTTTCTGCATAGTAAATAATAATTGGTTGTAATTTTGAATATTTTTTCAGCTAATAATTGGAATTTATTTTGTTAACCATTGTTGTACCTTTTTTTTTACTGAGCTTCTCCTTTTGATCGAAACTTTCATTATGATTCTGTTCTTTTTTAAACGCAGATAACATCTCTTTATGGTGGCCCTATAGAATTTCTTTTTGTGGTAGAAAGTACAGAGGATCCTGCTTACCATGCTGTATCACGACTAATATCAGAATTTGAGGTATAAATGAGTCCAGAAAATCTCCCCCCCCCCTTTTCCGCGTTCATGTTTGTATTTATTTGCTATTAAGTTTTTCAGTCTTAAACTCATTTCAGTTAGTTTTTCTACTCGTCCTGCTGGAACCAGCAAAACTTTCATATTGAGGCTTGACTCTGTTCCTTTGGTTCCCTTGCATGAATCTGTCGCTGTTTTGGGCTGTATCTGACAATCTTTTAGGCATCACACCTAATTGGATGCCTGTTTGATGTATGCAGGATTATGTTGATGCTAAGATTGTTGTAGCTGGTTTGTCAACAACTTGTAGTCAGAAAATTCACAACCAATTGGTAAGGAATTTTGTTGACGTATATTTTGATCGTCTTGTCAAATACAAAGTATGGCCTTGGCCTGTGCTATATTGGGAACTTAGCCTTGTCTTTTTCACATTTATCTTATCCTTTTCACATTTATTTGAAGTCAATTTAAATCTATTGTGAAAATCATAATGATCTTTGTTGTTTCGTTGACTAGTTGTTAGAAAGCATCTCCTCTACATAACTCTAGCTAGGCAAATAAATGTGTGAAGGACCTGTGGTAACTTATTGATATCAAAATTTTGGGTCATTTTCATTCTTGTTGGAATTTGTTAGGTTGTCCTTGCTAGATGCATTTTACCAAGTAGACTAGTATTACATAGTATTGGCACCTGGGCAGGTTGGAGTGGAGAAAATGCATAAAGACAGCAAGTATATATTGTTTTTGGATGATGATGTTAGGCTGCATCCTGGATCAATCGGAGCGCTCACTCGTGAGATGGAAAAGAACCCAGAAGTATAACTTGAAATTTATTTCTTTTGTTGTTCCTTTTTTAAGTGTTTAATTAGAATAATTTTGGTTCCTTTTGCCTTAATTATTTGATTACGGTCTTATCCATTTTGATGCTTAACAGATATTTATTCAAACTGGATACCCTCTTGATCTGCCATCTGGAAGTCTAGGGAGTTACTGCATCTATGAATACCATATGGTACACAACTTCCTCTAGCTTTATATCTCCAATCTATGCAGCACGTGACTGTGTATAAGATTGTGTTTTCTTTTATTTTCCACTTGATTTAAAATAAAACCTACAAATGAATCTTATCTAATTGAATTTGACTTCAGTCTTAGAATTTATTAGATAACTTTTCATGTGGGCTTTAGATAATATATTATTATAATTATTTGACTCTCTTGTTCCTTATCCTCTTCTTTTTATTTTATTTCACAGCCTTGTTCAATGGGCTTTGCCACTGGTGGAAAAACATTCTTTCTTTGGGGAGGGTGCATGATGGCGAGTAGCTTTTACCTTTTTCATTTTTGATGCTATGAAAAAATAAAAATAAAAACTTATGTTCTAACTATTTAATTTTTCTCCAGATGCATGCTGATGACTTTAGGCAAGATAGTTATGGTATAGTCTCAGGACTTAAAGATGGTGGATATTCTGATGATATGACTCTTGCAGCCATATCTGGTACTCTTATCAAATTTTTTTATGTTAACACTTTGATCATCATATATAACAGCTTTATCTGTATCAGATATTGAAAATAATGATTACTTGATTATTGATCCATAAAGGAGCTGGTTCTTTATAGTAAGATTTGACAATTCTAAGAGCATTTTCTTGCAGCTGTCTGATGCTTATTTTTGCACAGTTTGCATAAAACTTATGTTCTATGGAAGAATTTCTCCTTTGGGTTGTTCTTCATTAAATTCATTGTTCAAGAGACTGGTCCATATTTTGTTTTTCATGCAACTCCTTAAATAAAAATTTTCATCTTTGATATTTGTGATTTTTTAGAAAGGAAATGTAATGAGCTTCCAGTAATTCAACTAGATTAGAATAACTTTTTTAGCTATATATTTAATGTTTGTTCTAGTCTTTCATTTCTATTTATTATCTTGTTCATTGCTGTTGAAATTACAAGTCAAAGAATGAGAAAACAGAATATATATATATATATATATATTTCATTAATAGGATTTTGATGTTTTATGCAAACCACTAACACTACTATTTACCCTAATAATCAAGTTCAAATACTAGTGTGGTGAATTTATTAGAAGCCCAGCCTAATAAGACTACTAAAACAACAAGTTTCCTACAAGAATTAGAATTCTAATATTCTAAAAATTACTATAATATTTGCTCTTACAGGGGCTCACAAAAGGCTCATTTCCTCACCTCCAGTTGCTGTCTTTCCTCATCCCCTTGCAAGTGATCTTAATTTTGGAAGGTTTGTGATCATTATTCGTCTGAATTTAAAGTTTCTTTGCGTATTTGTTGAATTTAATTATTTTAACATGTGTAGATACTGGAATTACTTGAGGAAACAAACATTCGTTTTGGAGTCATATATATCAAATGTTAACTGGATAATGAACCGTGCATTGTTTGGTTCCCACTGCTATCTGTCATGGGGATTTGTAGCACCATATGTAATGGCAATAATTCATGTTGCGGCAGCATTAAGATTGGCCGCATTAAGATTTTACGATAAGGAGTACTTACTTGAAGAAATGACCTACACTTCTGGTGGTGAGCATACTACTTTCCCTTTTTAGGTAGGTTGTTAGTATTGATTCATGGATAAAATTTGGCAGGAGTCTGGTGCTGAATGAGGGATATTTTTCAACTCATTTGCAGTGATTGAAGCTCTCTATTTAAGATGATTCTCTACGGTTTTATATCCAAAATCTGAAATCCTTGACGATTTCTTTAATTCAGGAATAGCATTTGAGTGGAACTTTTTGAGTGTTATATGAAATTTATAACCGCACTTATTATATAAGCACTTTGTAAGAATTTTAGTTATGTTATTAATTCATTACCTTCTCACCCCTATATGGGATATTAAAATAAAGCAGACAAATCAGGTCTGTTCGCTGTAATTTTATGTCATGGATTACTTGTTAATAATGCAATGAGATGACATGAAATTTTAATAATAACATTCTCTTCTCGATTGATATAAGACATAAGTTGCATTTCCCCCGACTGACATTTATTTATTTACAGTGAATAGACAATGCTCGTAAAAAAGAATACAAAAATGGGTGAACTGCATTATTGAGATGAACTTTTCCATTAAGCTTTACATTTTCAGTTCTTGCATTTTGATATGTGCCTTTTCCCAGGGTTATCATTGGTGACCTTCCTAGCTATATGCACTCTTGTCGAGCTTCTTTCAATGTGGAACTTGACAAGGATAGAGGTTCAGCTGTGCAACATGTTGTCTCCAGAGGCAACGCAACTTTCTCTAGCCTCCTATAATTGGTGTCTTGTAAGTATTTTTTTTCTTGCTTTCTTTTTATGCGGAAAGATTTGAGTAATGTTTATCGTATGGGCTTCTCTTTTCTCATGTCACATGAGATATCATCTCTCATGTCATAGACACAATAAGTGGTGGGGCCCACCACTTATTAAAAAAGAAGAAAAAACTAAAAAGATAGCACGAATTTCGATGTCTCACAACATGAGAAAACTATCTCCTATTACATAAGAAAATGATTTCCCTTATCGTATATGTCTTGTACATTTCTACTGTAGTATTCTGAGTAAATCTTTATCAGCCTTGTACGCCTTATGACCACAAATTCTAACTGTAGATAAAACAAAAAAGATAATTTTATATTTAGTCAAACTTGGCAAGCATGGATACCTGCCACAACAAGGATTGACATAAGCATGTTGAACCCTAGATCAAATATAAAATAGAGATAGTAATGCATGGACTTGCGTGAATATATGGTGATATAAATATAATATTATGGCACCATAGGATGTGAAATATGCCTGATTACTAGCTGATAAAGTTAGTGATTTCTTTGAGCAGGTATTCATTGCACTGCTGGTGGATAACTTTCTTTACCCTATCTCGGCGGTTCGCTCCCATTTTTCACAATCTATCAATTGGTCTGGTATTCGGTATTATTTGAAAGATGGAAAAATTAGCAAGGTAAATTGGTGAAGGCTTTATGTCATCTCTGGCTTCAATATTGGAGTAGATGCAGGACCCTATCCTGTTTTGTACGGACAAGATGAACTTTTACAGCTATTTTCTCAACCAAAATGTATTTGTTTGTTTCTATGTGATGCAGATTGAAAGAACTCAGAGAAGCAAAGATATGGGTCCAATTTTCACGGACTTGGGAGGAAAACAATTATACGGAAAGAAAGGGATGCCTACAAGAGGTTCATTCCTCAATTGTTTGTCCAGAAGTTTGGCGCAATGGCATCAACCTAAGAAATTTGATAACTAGGAAAGAGTTTCATGTAGCCATCAAATTCTGTCTCTTCTGTCTATCTCTTTGCCTCACTTGGGAAGCATGGGTGTTGGTAGATCAAATTGATCTTATTTATTGTTTGGTGCATTCATGATTGATTGTTTTTGTGGTATGAATCCATTTCCATTTTTTCATTATTCATTCAATCTATATGATTTTTCAGCCCAAGCCTTCCCCTTGGTGTTGATTTTGTGATTGTAAACAGTTCAGTGCTCTAATTTATGTAGTACAGTAATCAAGAATTGCAAAAAAATTCTACTGGTAGCGATTCACATTATTTTCATCTCTCCTTCACGGTAACACACATTACAGGCTTACTCGAAGGACCATAAAGAAGTACTTGGGAATCAGAACAATCGATAAGAAGAATGTGAAATTTATATATTTTAGATGCATTGTAAAAATTTTTAACACTTTTTTTCAAATATAATTTTAATATATTACATGGGTTTAACGTTTTTGTTATATTTATTTAAAAGTAAGTGGGTCTCATTATATAAAGAAAAGAAAGAAAAAATTAATAGTATTCACTCATTTTTATGTGAGTTCATCTCATTACGACGGGTTCTATATCTGATGTTAATTCTCCTCTTTTATCCTGATTTGAGACAATTATTTTTATGTGAATGTGATATTTTTTTTCGGCAATAAAAATAGAACTAGTTCCATTATTTAATATGTTTGATTGTATTAATAATAACATGAGATATTAAAAATTTATTAAATGATGTGATAATATATTATATTCATTGAATTTAAGTAATAACAATGGTGAAGTGTTGAAAGGATATAGACAACTACTTGAAACTGCTTAATCTATCTAACAATTGGTGACGTTCATATGAAGGTGCTCCTCCTGCTCTTGTTTAGTTGTCTCACGTGAAACATGAATTAGTACCATGCAAAAGGAAAGTAGCCAGGACAAAATTCCACGGTGAAGATTTTAAAACAATACTCACCGAAGGAGAAAATAAAAAAACAATGAAAAAAGTTCAGGAAAAAGGATAAGAAAAAAAACAATGCAGGTTATAACAAAGTCTTTGATTTCACACTGAGGGCAAGCTGTGATGCTTTGACACATTTTTCAAGAAGCTCTCCAATTTTTTCTTTATAATACATTCCGCCGAAAGTAATATCACCATAACACCAAATTATTCATCGGCAACAGAATAAAGCCACGAATAAAAGAAGGAATAATGATTCTCGTGTTAAGAAATAAAAGAAGGAATAATTTTATTTTTTATGCAGATAAAAGTATATCAACCCATATGAAAAAAATAAAAATAAGTCTTATATATTTTTATGTGTAAAAAATAAAACTGACAAAAACTAATCTCATGAAAGAATCCATAACAAGAAAAACTTTTTCGATTGTCTTCGTTTCCATCCATTAACATTCCACTCCCTAGAAAGAGAAAGCAACAAAAGCAAAGCAGAGATGGGGTGCTGCTTCCGTGGCTCCACAAATATGCCTCCCAATGAAACCTTTATGCCTGTAGTTGTTGAAGAATACCCAGAACCCAAAAATCTCAAACAAGAAGTTTTGATACAAATTCCAGGATGCAAAGTTCATCTGATGGATGAAGGAGAAGCTCTTGAACTGGCTCAAGGCCAGTTCATGATCATCAAAACCTTGGACGACAATGTGTCTCTGGCTACTATCATAAAAGTAGGAGATGATCTTCAATGGCCTTTGACAAAAGATGAGCCAGTAGTGAAGCTTGATGCTCTCCATTACCTGTTTTCGTTGCTTGTAAAAGATGGCGAGCCTCTTAGCTATGGTGTGACATTTTCAGAAGAGAGTTTTGGAAATTTGGGTGTGCTGGATTCTTTTCTGAAGGAGCACTCTTGCTTTTCTGGCTTGAAATTGAGTAACAAGAATGATCTTGATTGGAAGGAGTTTGCTCCAAGGGTTGAAGACTACAATCATTTTCTGTCCAAGGCAATTGCTGGAGGGACTGGTCAGATTGTGAAGGGTATCTTCATTTGCAGCAATGCTTACTCCAACAAGGTTTTGTTTTCCTGTTGAATTATTTGAGCATTTTAGTGCTTTCCTTGTGCTTTTCACTTTTTTATTTTATAGAGCATGAACCTTATAATTTATTGAGGCCAGAAAATGCATGAAATGTGCGTGACTGTGATAGAAAGACTCATAATGTTGAACACGAGAAAACAGAAAGACTTATTATATCACTAAATTGCTATAATTTTTTTATCTAAAATTTGTTGGGTGGAAAATCATCAGGTACAGAAAGGAGGAGAAACGATCCTAAATAGTTCTGCAGGTGAGAAAAATGGTGTGGTGGCCAGGGAAAGTATGAGCAACAAGACTACACCAAGTGCCTCGAAGAAGAACAAGATAAATAAAAACCTCAAACGGTATCCAAAAAGTAACACTGAAAACACAAATGCACATGTGAATGATTATGAGCTACTATTAATTATCTTTTAATTTGCAATGTAGTGTGAGAAAGCTGTCCAAGATGACAGAAAAGCTAAGCAAATCTTTGCTTAATGGAGTTGGTATAGTTAGTGGATCAGTGATGGGTCCTGTGGTTAAATCCCAAACAGGAAAGGCATTCCTAAGAATGCTTCCTGGAGAGGTGCTGTTAGCTTCCCTTGATGCAGTCAGTAAGTAAAACCAAATCAAACACTTTGTGACATTCTATGTCCTGATTCTTTCTTTCAAATAAGCAGCATAATCTTCACTTCTCTGTTTCTCTTCTAATGCTGCAGACAAGGTTCTCGATGCAGCTGAAGCTGCTGAAAAACAAACTCTTTCTGCCACCTCCAAAGCTGCATCCAGAATGGTCTCTAACAGGTGTAAAGGCAACACATTTATAGTTGGACCTTATTGTCAATTATGCTTTAAAATGAACTGCACCCTCTAAAATAACTTATTCCACTTAAATATGCCAATAGGCCATGTGGGGTCCTCAAGTGGGATCAGTTCCCATCTCTAGAGTTATCCCCTTAGTAGAAATCTCACATGGCCAAAACAAGGGTCAGAAAGAATAAAATGTTGAATGGAATTCAGTCAGTGGTTGCTAATAAATTTGTTTTGTTTGTCAATATGTTATTATTTACATGTAACTTCATCCTTGGTTAACAGGTTTGGGGAAAATGCTGGGGAAGCAACTGAACATGTGTTTGCAACTGCGGGACATGCTGCTAACACTGCTTGGAATGTCTTTAAGATACGAAAGGTCATCAATCCAGCTTCTTCAGCAACTACTGGAGTGCTGAAAAATGCTGCCAAGATTAGAAGTTTTAAGAATTAAAATTCAATCAAGTTGCTTTGTACTTGTTTGTCAAAGGTGTGGGCAGTGGGCACAATTAGTACCCGTTTTATTCATTTTGGGCTTCTTCAATTAAGAATTGGTAAGCACTATGCTTTGGTTTTAGAAGGAGTAACTGGACCAAAATGAAGTCAAATCAAATTAAGTGTTAAATCGAAATGAATTCATGTATAAGCCACAGTTCCAATTGCACTGTTTTTTGTTTTGTTTCCGTCTTTTCTTTTTAACATTTCATTTACACATTCTTTTACATCCAATAGATATCACTTAAAACAACTAACTTTAAATATTAAATCAAGAAAAAAGAGAGGAGACACCTCCTTAATTTTGGGAATAGATAATCTTTCAATTTCTTTTCATTTTTTTGGTAAATAAAAGGCCTAAGCCCAAACAAACAAAAGGAAAAAACAGACAGAAAGAACACCTAAGAACTACAAACCACCTCACGTGGTCTACAAACAGAAGCCAAATCTGCAAACAACAAAAAATAAACACCAGGAGGAGGATCCCACCAAACTCTTTTATCAGGCTGCTCTTGATCATCAAGTAAAAAATTGGCCAACCAATCAGCAACAGTATTGTCTTCTCGAAATGTATGACGAAAAGAAACTGTCCAATCTTTCTGAATCCAAATCCGTATGCGAGATATCAGATGACACTCACGGATTGCTATACCATTCATGGATAGCAGAGTGATTACACTAGAAGAATCACTTTCAATCATCACATTGCGATAGCCTGAGCTCCAAGCCATCTCCAAACCCCTAAGCACCCCCTATAATTCAGCTCTGAAAGCATTACAAATACCCTACTTTGACAAATACTTCCCTTAATTTTGTGATATTATGAAGCGAGATGTTATTTGCTAAGAAAAGTATGAATTTCTGGATGGAAAAATTAAAATAATCGACTCAATAACTTATGTTTTCGGCTATGTCATATGTCATGTTTTTGGGGATAGCGGTGCTATTTTGAAAATATTTTTCAGTTATTTTTATTAATAGAAAAAGTATTTGTCATTACATAATTTTGTGTTATTTTTAATGAAATTAAGTCATTTTGATCTATTTTGATATTCTCTCTTTCTCCTTTTTCTTCTTCTTAATTTTATAAAAAAGAGAAAATATAAAAAAATACAAAAAAAATCCTACCAAAACAATATAATGTTATCATTAAAGGAAAAAATGTTTATCTTTTTAAATGACACAACTTATATCATTTTATTCTCATAAAGAAGTGGGACCCACACTTTTATTTTTTATTTTGTCAACTCTCTCTCCACCTTTATCTATCTCTTTCTCTCTTAGAATGACACAACTTTACATCCTTTAAAATGACACTGTAACATCCCCGTCTCGAGCCGGTTGAATTAACATACATATGATACTTAACAGAAACAGCGAAAGACTTAACTTACGAAAATACGAACTAACTTTTTAACTTTTTCTTTTATCCCTTTCGCATGATATTTACCGTTGCATACATCCACTAGTTTACTTATCATTTGACAGAAATGAAAATCAGACAGAGTACCGTCTGTAAATTGGACAAATGAGGATTTGAGAATCCCACTCTCAAAATATCCTGATAGACAGTTTACATCATATATGCTTTCAGAAATATCAGACATCCATGTAGGACCATATACCCATCCATGGGCGCATGCATAACTTGGCTCTGTGTCACTATGTCTAACAACATGCAAATCCAACAGGTAAACATATAACTGAATACTGCATCATAATATTAACATGCCTGAATACACAATTGTACGTGCATCAAAACGGAAACATGTACAAAACATATACAGACCATATACAAGTATCGGATCAGACATCATGATCCACCAAAAAGAATGGAATACAAAATAACCAGAATATACTCCAAAATAGCAGTAGCCTACAACTACTCAAAAAGTTGATCCGTCGTAGCACCTCTACCCACGGGTTGTGTCCCTACCTCGTGAGGGCTCACCGGGAATCTGAGAACCTGAAATTATGTCCTCAAGAAGGGGTGAGATAACAAATCTCAATAAGCTACAGGTTTATAGAGAATTCTTCATACCACTGGGCTCACTCCTGCATGAAAGTCAGATACATAGTATACAAAGCATCATATAACAGATATCAGAACTAAACAAAGCATATGCACATATCTTATCAGAGGCGTACGTAGTCATTCCCAAGGGAAGACCCCAAACGGAAATCAACGCACGTGTTCCCAATGGAGGACCTCGAGCGGAACCAGAACATAACAGAGGTGTACACAGTCAGTCCCGAGGGAGGACCCCAAGTGAACATCAGTACACCAACAATTCAATAGCCAAAGATCAATACAAAAATCATATCAGAACAAATCATATCATGTTATCAAATAGCTCTATATGAATGCATCTATTCAAAGCATCAAATACAATCATACAATCCAGCCATAGTTCACTAACCATGGTGGAGCACTCAAGCAGGAAAAGACTCCTTAAACATAGAGCTTACCTCTTGAAGCTTTACCAATTCGATTACTTGTAGAACAAACTACTTATCTTGCTCTCGAGAGTCCAAACGTTCACAGTCCCTAGGCACACCTAGAGGAGGAATTCAACACAAAACTCAATAAAATGATATAATACCATGTAAAGATACAAGACACACACTTTATTGTTTACTTTCTTTTTACTTAATCATATTAGGCCATGAGTGAGTGGTTCTTTGTTCAACAAATTCTCACAAAATTTCACATATTCACTTAGTCTTAGGATAGTCCCAAAAAGCCTTTAGAACACTCATTACTCCTCTTAGCACCTAAAAGCCTATTTTTCCCAATTTAAGGCAGAATGCCCATTACAAAGGAAGATTTCTCTTTGTCTAGTACCTAAACCCAAGCTTAGCCACCTATATAAATTATTTTATGCATAAAAGTGTTCTCACTTGGCGAAATAGTAACTCCAAACGTATACCTCATTTGAAAATGGCCAAAACTCATTTTAAGGCCATACAAATAAGCTACCTTATTTTCTTTTTTATTTCACCAAAGCGAAGGTTCCTACATCTTAGAATATTATTCCACGCGTAAAAGTATGCTCGCTTTGCAAAACAGTAACTTCTAGCACATACCTCTTTTGAAAATGGCCATAATCACATATAAGGCCTAAAGAAGGAACTTACTCATTTTTTTACTATTCATATATACGGTACTATTCATCGCTACAGTACTATTCACATATACGTCACTATTCACATATACAGTACTATTCACATATACGTCACTATTCACGTATACGGTACTATTCAAAAATACGGCATCTTCAATTTTTTTTTTCTTACTTTCACCAATCAAATGCAATTCTCTATCATTTCTTCCAAAGGAGCATTTACAAATCCAGTATGTATAGCAAGTTACTATTCACTATTCATCCAAGTTACTATTCATCTAGATCAACAACAAAAACTCAATCAAAATGGAGTTTTCTTACCGTAGATGTGTTCCTCAGGTTGCACACTTCAACTTTGGTTTTGGAACAGATGAATTTCATTAACTCTAGCTCGAGTTATGATCCTTGAAAAATTTGATTTCAAAACCTCTGTTTTCTTCTCTCCGTCTCGGTCGTCCGCGAAGATAAATAAGAATGAACAGTAACATTTTTTTAGAAATTTCACTTATATAAGTCAAGTGAAATTCAACTGGGTAAATATTTATCTATCTACACATCTCTATTCATTATCAAACTTTACCAAATGGACTAAAATATTTTTCTAGTCATATTTATAACTTTACTTTCACTTTTCGGGTAACTTTTCTTACCCACATTTTTATCTTTTAACTGTCATTTCAACTCATTTTTCATCAAATGTGACTTTATTTCTTGTACTTGTAATTATTCTTCAATATTGAATCCACGAGTACTAGTTGAGGGTTATTATAGACACACACTTTATCCATCATTTAAAATGATAAAATATTTTTTTATTTATTAATTCTTTATTTCATAATTCTAATTACCGTTCTGGGGTCCGTATCCCTATAATTATGTAGAAAAACAAAAACAAAAACCATAGAAATACGAGACTAATATCAAATCCCAAATCGAATGACATGATAATTATTCAATCGTTTTCACGAATTAATAAGTTTACATGTACACAAAATTTTTAACTAGTTCAATCGTGAAGTATTTACAGTGGGGAGAGTTGTAGTTTTGTAGAGAGAGAGAGAGAGAGGGAGAGAGAGGGAATGGAGGATGAAGAAGTTGGGAAGCTAAGCATTTACAGAGCGGCGAGAAGCATTAAGAAAAGAGAGAACAGTTTGTACAACGCATTGAGATCGATCTATGAAGACTCAATCTTTGTGGGTGAGATCTCTCAGCTATGGCCTCAGCTCCCTCTTGTTGCCAACCTTCGTTGCGGTCTCTGGTATTCCCCCAAATTCCATTCAACTTGTTACTTCAAATCCACCGATGGCCACACCAACAACTGTTCTTTCAACACTTCTCGCCTTAACCTCCACCTAGCCCTCCTTGCTGGTAATTATGTTACTACTATCCTATCCCTATGCTATCCTTCCCCCTCTTTGCTTTAAACTACTTTTACAAATTAAAGATGATTTTTTTATGATCATTATTGAATTGGGTAGGACAGAAGGGAGGGTCTGTTATTGTTGATTCCACTCGAAGAGGAAAACGCTTTCCTGATAGCATGTCCAAAACTATACCCATTTGGACCTGTGTTTTGAATCGTGCCATTACCCTTTTCAGAAAAAGGGACCTTCATGTTGATAATGATGCATCATCCAATGAAAATGAAATGGTTCAGGTGAGAATGATTCAAATATTATTTCACAATTTTGGTTATTTACACTGTATCCTGTATATGATTGCTTGTCTACACATTATCTCTTGTAATTTCCTATTGTTTTGTTGCCTTCATAAAAGCAGGATTCTAATGTTACAAGAGATGTCTCTTTTGATTGGGATTGTTCCTTGCATCTCCCCCTGTGGGTTTCCCAAACAGAAAAAGCTTCCATTGAGGAGCGATTGCAAGAATGGACTGAACGATTAATAGCAAGTGGAGCTGATATTGCTTCCCTTGCTGCATGCCTTAAGAAACCCTTACGCCCTCTCTGGATTTCGCAGAAAACTGTCATCTGGTTGAATGAAGTACCTCACCATGATTCTTGGGATTTCACACCCATTATACTTGTGTCTGCATCTTCATCCATTGGAGTAAGCCAACATAGGACTACTTCTGAGTTTAGTTGGAATTACATACCGGGTGCCGGAGATGATGAAGAAAGCTGGGCTAGGGGTTTATCTCCCGGTCTCTTCTGGAATCATGTTTATGATATTATAAACTCTGGTCCTGATGTATGTAACCAGAAGGTCGCAGATATGGTTGAAAAGAGTAGAGTATACCATGCATATAGAGGAGAAAGTGCACCACAGATCACGGTTAAACCCCTCAAGTCAGTCTGCCTTTCACATGAAGAACCATCAGAAACTTCTGATATTTCAAACGTCAAAATCGACAACGAGTATTCCGAAGATTTTGCGATGTCTTGGCTGGGATCAACTAATTTGGCAGTTGGCACATCTCAAATTGGTATGCTGAGTTAATTAATGCACTCTTAAAATCCTCTGATGCATTTCTTTTGAGGATGCCTGATCCTCTTGAATTTATAATCACATTTATTGAAACTAGAAGATCTGTGAAATGAAAACACATTGTCACATTTGTAAATTCTATCAATAGTACGGACATACTTTAGTTGCCTTTGTGTCCGACCTAATTCTGATCAGCAACATCATTGAGCAGTAATTTGTTTCTATATTGTTTTTCTGGCTGAATCTCCAGTGTCCATGTTTTGTGCAGCTGCAGATACGGCTGATGTTGATTGCATATTGGATTGTGGTCATGAGTCCATATCTGTCTGTCTTCCCGGTGCTGAAGCATATTTTCATCTTCCAATAGTGGTCAGTATGAAGTGGAAGGAAAACTTGCTTAATTCTTCTTCTTTCTTATTATTATTATTATCAGCATTTTCCCACTCATTTTAGTTTTTGATGGCCAGACTTCAAAGTTTGATCGATTTTCCTTACTAAACAATCTTCCTAAAGCGGTGGGCTTCGCAAAGTTCAATCTTGGCCAAGGAAAAAGACTTCTAGTTTGTTGTAATAATGGTAAAGGCCCCGAAGTGTCCTCTGTCTACCTTGTCTATTTATTATGTAGACTAGGATTTATTCGAAACTAAATGACATGAATTCATTCCATGTGTTGTGCTTGGCATTTGAAAACAGCTTAATTGTCATTGATAGCGTTGTCACTATAGGACTCACTGGTGGAACTTAGTAGGGGCAGGCAGACAAATATTTTCTCCCTTAGCAGCTAGCACTATTACTTGACTACTGGATAGATCACTCTACCGTCATCACTAATTTATTTTTGTTGCCTTTGTACTACCAATAGATAGATAAATAATTTTACTCCCTATATATAGAGAATATCACTCCTTCCCTCCGAGCAATCCCATCCCCTCAAATTTGTTTTATATTCAAGGTAGCCAACACTCTTTTTCACTCCTAAACAGCCTCAGAATCCCCAGCAGATTCGAAGCATTTAGTTAACACTCCCCGCCCCAAAAAGAGGTTTTATGTCAAGTTCCGTCATTATAGACCTTCATCTAGGATTCTGTGTATCTCTAGATACCTGAGTTAGACACCTGTTTTTGGTAAACAGGTTTATGATTAAAACACCAATAACCTATGATTCCACCAATTACAAGTATCTCTTACCTCCAAAAAATGTGGGAATCTGAATTCCTGAGTAAATAGGTTTTACAGACTCATAAATTACTGTGTCCTTTATTTAATTACTACCAATTTTTATACCAATTACTAAACATGAGGATCTTAGACACCCATGCATCTATTACCTTCTTATCTTATTTCCATGCATCTTAGACATTTGCTTGTGAACCGAGCACCTCAATAATGTACTTGTCATGTATTGGGTGCAGTACAGAGTTACTTTAACTGTCCATTTAACTTCTATTGTTATATTCTTATTTTTATAACTTTATCTCTTGAATTTCTAAGGTACCATTCCTTATCCTTCTAAATCATTCTGGTGGACCTGTGTAAAAGCAAATTATTATGTGTGTTGCATAAAACCAACATACCTTGCCTAATATACTATTTTTCTTTGCTTTTCAGGGGAAGATATTAGTGTGTGTGTTTGTTTAGCGATTTTGATGTCACTATTTGATGAAAAAGGTACATATGTATATATCTTCCATATTGTTACAAAAGATTAATTATCAAGCGCATCTCTCGCATAGTATAGAATCAATGCATTACAGTGTTCATCATGCCCATTTTCAAGTGTACTTGTTAGACTCTTAAAATTTAAAATTGATGTCTTTCAAACACTATAAAATTGATCTAGGAAGAGAGAAAGAGGAGGAATAAAGAAAAGGTGGATGAAGAGGAAAGGAGTGGGTGAAAAATTGTGGGCAATTTACATAAAATCACCTTATACTTAGGTGCTTTTCAAAAAGCACCCTATATTTTCAATTAAATCAAAATACCCTTATCCTTAACTCAACAGCACCAACTTGCTTTTGTCCCCCACAGCCTGTTGTCAGCCATCGACACTGCTTGCCGCTAGCCGTCCGCCACCACCAGCCCATCTGCCAGCATGTGCGAACTGTAAATCTAAGTTTACACTACTTCCAACCTTATGCCCCAGCCATGCATCCCGAGCAACTTCACATCATATGACTACTCCATTAGCAGGCCTTTCTCCTTCCAGTGTCGGTGCTATCAGTAAACAATAGTTACAATACCACCACTTTCATATAAATATGAAATATCAATGGTCAAGTCTTGATAATACTTTAACCAGGAATATTATTTTTTAAAAGAAAATTTAATTTAAATCTGCACATGTTATGTATTCATCTAGCTAATAGAAAACTATCTGAATGCTTTTATATATTCGCAATTAAAAACCAAAAAGATGAAAGGACATGCGCTATGAAAATATCTAAACACTCTCTTGAGAGAGGTGAGGGTAACTGTTGCGACTCGGCAAGTGCACCGGTCGTAAAAGTAATAAAGTGTACTGAGTAAGAGATCGTTCCCACGAGGATGGAATTTTCAAGCACTAGTTCGCTAATCGCGATTTAGTTGGACAATCAAGAATAGGATTTGAGAGAATTGAATTGAAATTAAAAACAATCAATAACATGCAATTTCAGAATTAAAAGCATGAAAGTAAAAAGATGAAAGTTTTGAAAATCAAGAAAGAGTGTAGTTAAGGTTTCGACTTCCCCCAATCTCCTCTATATGCTATGAATTAAACTGCCAAGAATCTGTTCATAATATAATGCCAATCAATTCTGTCTAATTTAATTAGGGCTCAATTCCTTGTTATCCTAAATCTATGTGATCTTGAAAGAACTCTAGTTCCCCAATTATTCCCCAAGAAAACATGCATTAAGATCAAGAATTTAAAGATTGCACAATTACCCTATGTCAATCCCTAGATCACAAGGATTGTGATAAATTTACCATGTCAGGGTTCATGCACCAACATCCCTATTGTCGTACAATTCCCCAAAATCAATCTATAAGGAGCAAACTCATAGAAAGCATTAAAGACAGATAAATTTATTCATTTATAAAAAGAAAAGAATTCAAGAACAATTTAATTCATAAACGTAAACGATTCAAATGGGTTCCATCTACCCCTAACTACATAAAAATCTAGCCTAGCATACTAAATTCAAAAACAATAATAAAGAAAAGAGAACCCCAAGCCCCCATTGGTGTGATGTTGACTTGGTCCCTCAGTGTTCCAGCGCTCCGCAACAGGATTCCTTCTTCAGATCTCTATGTAATTCTCTGGATTGGTGAATTGGTGTTGACCCTCAGCTCCTTATTTATAATCATTGGAGTTGTATCCTTCATTCAATATCCCGACGAATCCGTATCAGATATGTAATTGATTCCATAGTTGTTTCCTTTTTGCATTTAAGATCTTGTAGATTGGTGATAGATTTTTGACTTTGAATCTTGTTATAATCTTTCTTCAATCTTCCCGTGGATCTCTATGAATCAAGGTCGATATGTTTCCGCTTTAATCCCAGATATCGCGATCTGTATCCATTGGCAAATCTTAGTTGAATCTTGGGCTAATGAGTTCGTACAAGGACGTTTTAGTGTGCTATTTGTGCGCCAAAACGTCCTCCCAGTGTGTTGTTGTCTGCCTCTGGGCGTTTTGGCACGCTGTTGGGCGCCAAAACGTCCTCTTCGAAGGGTGACTTGTTACTGCTGGAGCGTTTTGGCGCTCTGTTTGACCGCCAAAACGCTCTGGTCCAGGGAGTTATTGTTGTTTTCTTCATTTAGAGCATTTAAACGTTCTTCTTGGACGCCAAAACGTCCTCTTCCAACTTGTTTATGATTACAATCTTGCTTCCTTGAGGCTTCAACTCCTCTTGTTGCATTCCTTTGGCTCCAAAAAGCCTTGATGGATGTTAAAATCCTTTGAAATAAGAAATATTACAAGATGTTAGCTAGATATTCAATTCTCGTGACTTTATGGTGTAAAACCCTAATTTCCATGCAATTCATGTTGTATTTCAAGTATAATAAGGCCTAAATCCAAGGTAAACCAAGGGTTTATCAGTAACTGAAGAACCCAAGGAAGACCTTGCAACTTGAAACTCAAAGGAATCATAACAGAGACATAGTTCCACCACCAGAAGTCTAGAAACCAATTTTACGAAATCCTTGCAGCACGTTGCTTGTTACCTTCACTTGGTTCCTCTGTCCATGGTTGTTAAAACGTCGTTCCAACTCGTTGAAACAGACGTTTTTATGTTGTTTTGGCCAAAATCGTTTCAGAACGATGATAGAAACGGATTTTGGATAGACTCGGTTGAAACGTCGAGTTAACTCGGTAAACTCGGTTGACTCAACGAGTTTACTGAGTTAACTCGGAACTGGTAAAAAGAAGAAGAAAGAAATGAACTCTGACGTCGACACAGAAACAACCTCATCTTCTTCGCTCTCCGAAGCTGAAGCAGAGGATGTCGACGGAGGGCCCTGAATCTAATTGCTCTGCATCCTCCTTCTGAGGTGTGATGCTTCCATCTTTTGCAATCTGTCTTCGTCTTCGTCTTCATCGATTTTCTTCCTTCTCTTTTGAGACGCACTTCGATCCTCATTGTCATCATCGTCATCATGCTTCGGTGTAAGAGTATCATTGGGCTTTTTGCTCGATTGAAGAGCTTCCTGGAAAAATCGAGTTAAAGTTTGGTGCTTCGTTCGCTGGTAATCAAGGTAAGTTGAGCAAAGATGGTTGACGAGTTCATCAACGGTAGAATACTTGAACTTGCAAGACTCCAATCGACGACAAAAGGTTTCTTGCAATGACCTTCCCCCGTTTCTTCTTCCCATCTTCCCACCCCTTTTTCCCTCTCTGATTTCTCACCTGTGTTATGTTATTCAACTCATAAACCCTAACAAAACTGTTGCGTTTCGTGAACCTTTCGTTCTTATTGACTTGGGCTCATTAGCTAATGGATTGGGTTGGCCTAGTTTGCTACTTTTTTTTTTTCTATTAATATATTACAGTGTATTAATTGAAAATATTTAGAATATATTCACACACTATAATGGCTATAAAATTATAGGAAAAAAATTCAAAAACTCTATCATTTATCTTTTATATTTTTTTTATTACTTATCTTATATGTGAATTTTTTTTATCGAAATTCATTTTAATAATGTTAAATATTGGGTTATTTCATCTAATTAATGTTTTGATTTTAATTTATACTATGATGATTGAATTTGAACTTACTTTTTATTTACTTTAGTGTTTGGACTTAAATTTATGATGACTTATATATTGGTGTAATATATGTTGGATATATTTATTTATATATATATATTTTTAGTACGTAGTAAACTCTTACGTTTCGTTTATTTTTTTCGGATATACGTTTTTGCTCACCTCCACCGTTTCTATGTAGACTCTACGTTTTAACAACATTGCCTCTGTCTAAATAACATGCCGCAACAACTTCTCCCCCTCCCCAAAGAACCGATTCCCCACAAACTCCTCCACTCTCTTGAATATTTTGTAGGATCGCTCAAATACAAAACCAACAAATAAAACAACTATTCAAGAATGTCGTGGACTTGTGGAGAAAGAGAACAAACTTCTGTGAAATATTTCTGTGAAATATTTTACTAAACTTCGTTGCTTCTCAATTCTGTGTTTCTCAAGCAATATACTAGACTATTTATAGGCTATAGTTTGCCTTTCTAAAACTGCAACACTAAATAGCCATAAACCACATTTAAAACCAAACTTAATAACAAAACATAACGACTGACTCTTAACCTTTCAAAACTCCTAAACTTAATGCTAACCCTCATGACTCATAAACTCCATAACCGACAAATTCAAACCAAAACTCCTAAGATAAATGTTAATCTTATGACTCATAAACTATCCATAACTGACATCTTTAAACACATTAAAGTAACATTTAACGTTTACTTAACAAAACTCCCCCGTAAACTTAAATGCTTCTTTCTTTCTTCGTGTTGCTTTTGCTTTTCTTCAACTTTCTGATCGCGCTTGTTTTCTTCAATCTTGATCACTAACAAAAAAACATCTAACACCTTCCAACTTAATTAACTCAAAAAAAATATCTCCCCTGCAATTATTTTCCTGAACATATTTTATTTTATCCGGTGGCTTCTTCAATTTGATATTTTCAGTTTCATTAGCAGGACTTTCCTTGTTTCCATTCACTGTATCTTCTTCACCTGCAAGTTTCTCGTCACCCAAATTCTTCTCAGTTTCATTTGCCACTTCATCAGTTGTGATCACAATTTTATTTCCTCGTCCAATCCCAATTTCTGCATCATTGGTATTGTCAACAAAACCTCTTTTTCTCTTCAAGACCACATCATTTTCTTCAAATCATCAGTTGTGATCACAATTTTATTTCCTCGTCCAATCCCAATTTCTGCATCATTGGTATTGTCAACAAAACTTCTTTTTCTTTTCAAGACCACATCATTTTCTTCAAATGCACCTTCCATTTTTTCGCTCTTAGTTTCTTTATCGTCGGGTTCTTCTTCAACAAGTCCAGCTTCCATGCGCCTCATCGATAGAATCTCAGACAACCGTCCTCCAGGGAAATGGTCTCTTTTTGGTGGTGTCGACACCTTCCACTTCCACCATAAATTCAATGCAGTCTCCGACTTCTGACTACCAACCCGAACCGCGCCTATGCCGGTCTCCGACATCAACCTCATCACGCCGAGGTCGAGCTCTTCTCCAAAACATGAACTCGGTGATTTAGCCAGGATCTCCCCCATCCCGGTTATCAACACGGAACTCGGATTCGCAGTCTCCTCCATGCCGGTCTCCATCAAGCACCTCGGCTTCTCAATCTCCTTTCCGATTTTCGACTCTGTCTCCAAATACTCAGGTTCCGCGAAGTCTTCTACCTCGACAATGGACTCGTCGTTCCCGTCCTTCTCTGCTTCGATCTCGGCTCCTTCGTTCTCCTCATCTTCTATCTCAGCTCCTTCGTTCTCCTCCTCGTCTATCTCGGCTCCCTTGTTCTCTTCCTCTTCTATCTCGGCTCCTTCGGCCGCAGTCATCTCCCTCGTCTTCTTCTCCGAGTCGTCTCTTACGCGTTCTGACACGTCAATCTCCTCCGCGGATGCGTTGCCGTTGGCAACCTCGGATTCCGCCATCTCGGTCTCTTCTTCATCCGCATCATTCTCATCATCTTCATCTTCATCATTGAAGATTTCATCTTCTTCATTAATCAGATCAAAACGTCCAGGCAAGTATTTTGTTATGAAGGCCATTAGAAAATCCTTCCACATATTATTAAAGTCGCGGCAGTTCCATGTACGGGGAACCATTTGATTGCGCTTCCTCTGAGTCTTCTCATGGCTACCTGCCATTTGTCTTCCGTCCAGGTTTTTTCTTTCCGAAAATGTTCCTTCAAACAAAGAAGCCAATCTAATGCTTCATCCTTATCTCCATGGAAGAGTGGCACTTCCATCTCGTGCCCAAGCTCTGATACCAATTTGTAGGATCGCTCAAATACAAAACCAACAAATAAAACAACTATTCAAGAATGTCATGGACTTGTGGAGAAAGAGAACAAACTTCTGTGAAATATTTTACTAAACTTCGTTGCTTCTCAATTCTGTGTTTCTCAAACAATATACTAGACTATTTATAGGCTATAGTTTGCCTTTCTAAAACTGCAACACTAAATAGCCATAAACCACATTTAAAACCAAACTTAATAACAAAACATAACGACTGACTCTTAACCTTTCAAAACTCCTAAACTTAATGCTATCCCTCATGACTCATAAACTCCATAACCGACAAATTCAAACCAAAACTCCTAAGATAAATGTTAACCTTATGACTCATAAACTATCCATAACTGACATCTTTAAACACATTAAAGTAACATTTAACGTTTACTTAACATATTTTGGATCCTTCATCGCAACCGGTACTCGAACAACAGCTCCCCTTCTTTCACTTGGAACTTGTTCTCATGGCTTTCAATTTCCTCCACGTCCTGCTTCACCTTCATGTACTGCAACAGCACCAACAACTCAATTTGAGCTCGGTGCTGGGTAATAAGGGGAGCCCATGGTAGGGGAGAAATACCATCAATGGACTAATCGGTACTCCATCGCATAAGTGGGCTCGACATTACATCTCAACCCAAAACCTAAAGGTGTTAAGTTTATGGGTCCTTTCACTTATATGGTTATCACTTTGTCCATTTTCAAGCAATGTGGGACATTTCACTTCTCACATTTGGATTCCCAACACTCGACCATCCATTTCAACATTTTTGGGAAGAAAATTTTCATGTCCCCAAATGAATTGAAGCATGTGGCGAAAAAGATGTGGCAAGATTCTTCTTAGAGATGCCAAGGTGCACTGCTTTGTCAAGTACCGACCTAGATGCCTCGTAGAAGAAATCATATAGGAAGGAAGACCCAATGTAGGAGGATTGTGTCAAATGAGTTGGTCCCATAAAGAGAACGAGCAAAGAAGTTAAACCCGGCAAAAAAGCTGGTATCTCCAAATTAGCTTTTCCTTGGCAGCAAGCTCTCTCTCTAAGGTGTCAAAGAGGTCTGAGTAGCTTGCATCGAACTCAGGAATGACGTTGCAGCTGCAAGATTTGAAGAGGAAGAACAAAGGCGGCAGTGGAGATGATGCTCGACGGTGGCTGGTGGCAGGCATTGGCCAGTAGAAACATTGATCGGTGTAAATTAATAATGGGGTGTTTTTGTCTTAAAAATGTTAAATATGTTTAATTGGTGCAATGTGATAGTGCAAGGAGTTAAATTGTTCTAATTAAAAATGTAGGGTGGTTTTTTTGAAAAAACCACCTTAAGTACAGGGTGGTTTTAATAATTTACTCAAAAAAAATTGGTAGTTTTTATTGAATACTGAAATAAGGAGGCATGATGTTCTAACTTCTAAGGGATAGATGATAAATTAGATTATCTGTGAGGAAGATATGTTTGCAAAACCCAGGTGGAGTTAATTGCTCAAAATGTTTGTGTTTCTGTACATTCTTGAATATTTAAAGCTTGAGGCATTATTAATATTATTCTTAATTCTATCACTAATCATCCTTGTTGTCTGCACTTTTTAGGTACTTTTGATGATGGGAAATCCTTCAACGAGACACATGTCACTAAATGGGATATGAGGCGACGGCTTGTATATGTCTGTAAGTTTGCAACAAATGCGCGACCATCCAGAGGAAATTTGAGGCAAGTTTTTAACTTTCTTGGTGGTGGAAAATGCGTTCAACAACGACTGAACACTGGAAGAGACGAGTAATTGCATAGGCACATGAATATCATTCCTTAAACGTTCCAAACTTATCACCCTTGATTTTGCTTTGGGCGGATTTGAAATCATTCCAAACCCAGTTGTACAAAATTGTTGTATGACTAAGTTTATACGACACTTCTGACATCTCACTAACCTGTGCATGCCTTCTTTGGCTCTTGTCTGAATGCACAGCCTGAGACGTCTATACTTTTCAATACCTTTTATCAAGAGACAACAACAGACAGCCCTTGTGCCTGAATATGGGCTTTTGCTAAGCAAGGTGACAGTTAAAACAAACCATAAACTCGTATTCCAAGCATGTATCCTATTAATTTGTAAGATGCTTTGAATTTAAAAATGCAAATAGCATAGAGTACAATTTATGTTTCGACTTTTAAGTGTATGAAACTTTATTAAATCATATTTAAGAAGGCATTGTGCATCATTATTTTATTTTATTTTTTTGTTATTTTAATTTAAGTAAGATTTTTAAGTCTTTATGTATCAAAAAATTAATTCAAATACATTTATGGTATGGACCAAGATGGACAGACTCCTATTTTTAAGTTTTGTTGTAACATCCCGAGCGCTGACGAGGGCGGGGAGTGATCGTTGGTGCAAAGAGGCACGGACAAGGAGCGGCTCCTGACAAGCTTTCAGCGGGGGGTTACATGCATGAATGAATCGAATCGACACCCGAAAGAGAGGGATTCCAAAGGCTGTGCAGGTATAAGACTGCACAGTTTGAAATAGCTTATAAGAATTAATTGGACTACCTATGCTAACAAGATGCATCTGTTTTTCGGTAGCCCGGATCGGAAGAACTTCACAGTTAAGCGTGCTAGACTTGGAGCAATTCTGGGATGGGTGACCTCCTGGGAAGTTTTTTCGGAAAGTGTGCGAGTGAGGAAAAAACACACTGAAAAGTCTCATGTTAGTATGTGGGGATAGTCATTGATTCTTGAAGCGGTCGGGCGTTACAAGTGGTATCAGAGCAGGGCCTCTCATCCAGTACGGTGTGGTTCGAGGACGAACCAGGCGGAAGCTGGTGGGCATGTAACATCCCGAGCGCTGACGAGGGCGGGGAGTGATCGCCGGTGCAAAGAGGCACAGACAAGGAGCGGCTCCTGACAGGCTTCCAGCGGGGGGTTACATGCATGAATGAATCGAATCGACACCCGAAAGAGAGAGATTCCAAAGGTTGTGCAGTTATAAGACTGCACAGTTTGTGATAGCTTATAAGAATTAATTGGTACTACCTATGCTAACAAGATGCATCTGTTTTTCGGTAGCCCGGATCAGAAGAACTCCACAGTTAAGCGTACTTGACTTGGAGCAATTATGGGATTGGTGACCTCCTAAGAAGTTTTTTCGGAAAGTGTGTGAATGAGGAAAAAGCACACTGAAAAATTTCGTGTTAGTATGTGGGGATAGTTATTGATTCTTGAAACGGTCGGACGTTACATTTGCTATATTTGATTATCTAATAATAAGTAGAATATAATAAAAATGAAATAAAATTGCCATATTATTATTTAAATATTTTATGATGAGACAAAGTGAAATTTTCTGTTTCATTATTTGAGAAATGATGAAATAATAAGAATGATAACTTTATTGAAGTAGTTTCATCCTATATCCCAAAATTTTGAAAAAGAAATATTAAATAAAATAAAATAGAATAGAATTTTTTATCATGTTCCGTTACATTTCTTCTAATTTTAAGAAATTCAAGCAATGGTAACCTTTGATATTCCGTTCCATTTCTCTCCATTCTATTTCTTTTTTATCAATCCAAACATAACAGTTAGGAACCAAACCCAGAAAAATTGAGTATTGATCTATACTTCATCATAACTAGCGAGCTCAAGCTAGTTGTCACTTGTCATGAAGCAGATTCTTTCTGACAGTCAACTCTGTACAGCAGGTTAGGAGAAACACAAAGTTGAAGTGATAACTGATAACAAGTACCAATGGGGTCATCAGACAAAATAGTCTATTTGTTTATAGATCAACTCTAGAACTTCATTACCATCCTTTTGCCCTTCTCAAGGTTCAAAAGATGAAAGAGAATTGGATTCTTAGGAAATTAAAGGAGACCTTTGCTGACGTTTTCTCTTTGATCTCAGATCAACAACTATGATCGAAATGTTATCTTTACTGTTTCTACCATACGCAATTTCAGTCAGGCTATCCGCAACAACTTGTGCAGGAGATATTTCCTCCATTGACAAGGATCTGCGGCGCCTTCTAAGCATATGGCGCGCTACTTCTCCAACCTCTTCATTGGTCATTACATCCCAAAGTCCATCACTTGCCAAAATTAAGCATTCATCCTCGTCGGTTCTTGCTGTAAAAGTTATCTCCGGCACAGGAATAATCCAAGGCCTCAAGTACCGATCACCTGAAATATCACCATTAAGCAGGTAAATTCAAGACTGGTCAGTTTGACGTTTCGTTCCAAGATGTCCAAATCCTAATTTAACTTGGAAAAATTTCTTCTTAGTATCTGGAAGCTAATAGCGCAAAAGAAAGGAAATATAAAAAGGCAAAGTTTGCACCAGATGCTACACCAGTAACCTAGAATATCCATCCACATAGTGGTATGCATACCAAAATACCTTAGTATATAATCAAACAATTTCCAAATTAAATGTAAATGTGATCGCTGCAGTATTTATATTTAAGATAATATGAAATACAAGGGATATAGAATAGTCAGGCATGAAGACAATATTTAGAAGTACTCTTATACTGGTGCCAAACTTAAAAGATAAATATGTGAGCTAGAAATGCTGCATAACCGTAAGATGTTTGCCAGACTTACTATTAAGTACTCTTATACTGGTACCAAAACTCAAGGAGGATTGTTAGATGACTCAAAGCAAAGGGAACTTTATTACAAACCCACAAGCAAAAGAATTAAGAAATATGTAGAAAAGAGAGAAAGAGGGGTGGGAGGTGAAATCTACAAAAGTTTATTAAATCTCTACAGAAAAGGAGAGAACTCTCCTCCCAAGTGTTTCCCCTTCAACAAAGTTAATGCTTAGTTTTCCAATGCTAATCATTCAGAATCATCTCTCTTCTATTCCCTCCTACCATTTAAGCTAAGCCAATGCTCTTACAAGTCTTAACCACCTAACTAATTCTATAGCTACTTTGTAACTGTAACTAATTCTATAATTACTTTGTCCTGGTCCTATCAATGTCACCTTTTGAAATTCCACTTTGTCCTCGAAGTGAAAGTTGGTTGGGTTGCTGGAATCTAGAGCTCTGTGTTGGCCGCACTAATTGGGGGAAATGTTGAGCTTTGCTAAACATGTACAAAATCTAGCTGAATCTTAGTGGCTGAGATTGTGTTTGTAGTTTTTCTTTTTCTTTTCCTGTTGTTTCCAAAACAAATAGAAAACATTGTGTATGAAAAAAAATGAGAAAAAAAAAGTGAAGGAAGAAGAAAGAGCAAAACACAACAAAACAATAAACAAAACAAACACAAAAGGACTGACAGCTGCAAGCTGTGAAGTGGGAGCAGAGACCGAACTTTGATGTGTGAGTAGAGACCAAAGGAAGAACAGAGACTTGCGAGCAGGGGGTCAGTGACTGGTAAATGTAGGTGTCGGCCAGAAGCAAACGCCGGCAAGCAATGGGTTACTGAGTCAGACGACAGAATTCGAAACAGCAGTAACTATTTTTGGGTAAATGATTGAGGAAGAAGGGTTTAAAATCCTATAATGTTTCTGAAGCAAAAACGCACAAGAAATCACGAGACTATAAAAAAAATTTGGTTTGTACTCCTTGTTAGCCATGGGGAAAGCAACGACAGCCTTTTTCTGCTATAACGATAGCGATTTTGGACACAAGGCGAACGAGTACCTGTAACGGTCACCTGCCTTAAAGCCGACATCGAAGGCAATTGATGATTCTGGCTCAAAAGACAACTGAGCAAGATGCAGCCTAATGAGATGATTGGAATGATAGATGACCGAAAAAGAAGAGACTTAATGAATGATCATGAGAGAAAATTTTCAAGCAAACAATTTTACAAAGCAGGAATAGAAAGTTCCCTAATTTCCTAGCAAACAATTTGAAAGCTTCAAGCAGCTTAAAATAAAATAAAACCTTAGAAACCCAAAAGGTTAGGAATAAAATCTGGGGCAAAGACTGCATATGGGATCAATACATCTGCCATATATAGGGCCAAATCGCATCTGGGGGACGAACCAACAAAGATGGACCAGGGAAAAGACAGGGCTAGTCTGTCTGTATCTGAGACTTAAGATGGGGCCAGAACATGGAGATAGGCTAGAGTATCTGGGACAAAGACCGGGGTGGGACAACGACCATTTGGACAATGCTTGGGTCTAAGACACCTTCAAATTTTCACTCCCTCAATGCTGCCGAAAAGACGACATGATAGAGGGACAAATTAATTTAAGGAATCATAGAGAAGATGGTGGCAGTGGCAGAGGCACCTTGGAAAGCCCTACTAACAGAAAATAAACCAGAGAAAGAAAAAGGGTGACCGAAATTCGTCACAGCTAACCAGAAAATGAAAACAGTCGCTGAAGATATGGTGAAACAAAATACTCCAATCCAAACCTTAAAATAATTGGCAATAGAAGCGTGATGGATAGATTACAAAGACAGTTATTGTGCTGCCATGGTTCAACTACATATGAAAGAAAAGAAATACTCAAAGTACTAAAACTATATTGATTTGTTTGAAGGATGTAATATGGTATTTAAAAAAAAAACAAATAAAAACAAAGTAGGAAGCACTATTTATATTAATAGAAATTTTTTAATATGATTAAATAAGGAAATAAATTATGAAATATAAAAAAATAAAAAATAAAAAATAAAAAATGTTTTTAAAGATCATATTAGTGCTTTAAACTATTTTAAGATATAGTGAAATACTATGTGATATCTTCTAAATATTCTCAAAAGTATCTGAACCACTTTGAGAATAGTCCTATAATTACTTTGAAGATTAAGCCGTGTGCATCCTTCGTTAGCTCATAGCAAAAAGATAATTTGCCATGAAATGTTGAAATAAACTTGATTTCCAAATGTCTGATTGAGAAGTCTTTTTTTTTTTTTTTAATTTTTCTTCTTCTTATAAGAAGAAGTTAAATCAAACAAATTTTTACAAAAGCTCTTATAATAAAAAAGTTTTTTTTAATGATGAAGAAAAAAGCCAAAAACTCTTGGGAGAAATTTTTTTATAGTTGTTCAGCTTTTTTTGAAATAAAAAGCTTTTAAATAAAATTGTTAAACTAAAATTTTTATATAATTATCAAACCGCTTTTAACTTTATTTTTAAAACTCTTTTTTTCTAACTTTAACTTAAAAATAAATTTTAGCTTAAAAAATAAATGCCAAACAGGCTTTTAATCAATAGTTCAAAAGAAAATATTTCGCATATTCTTAAGACTGGATATGAGGCTAAATTAAGGTACCTATAGCCCTGGACATGGCAAGAACACCAAACACCCTAGCTCCATTCCAGTTTATGACTCTTCCTCCTCCTCCTTCAATTCTCAAGAGTTCATCTTGTCTATCTGGCTGTACAAGCAAGGACAATGGTATCTTAATTTTGTTAATGAAATAAAAGATAACTGTATTGAAGGAAAAGAAAAAATGTTTGAATATATATGGCTGCATACTGGAAATGCGAGTTCTTTTCTTTCTTTCTTTTTTTTAGTCATCTCTTCTCTTGGGTTACAAGTATCTTAGAACTTCAAAAGCAGCATACGTTAAATGTTTTTTTATATTTTGATTTGCACAATTATTGACAATAGATTATAGACTTATCTTCTACACATATACATGCAAATTAAAGAATGCATGGAAAACAAAGAAGATAGCCAGCCTCAATTTGATAAAATGACACTGCATATAATTTTTCATTTTCAAAAAACCTAAAACAGAACACATAACCACATGTTTGTAGTTATATCAACGTAAGCAGATAAGTGGGTTCTCGCTAGACCTTCTGATCCACTGTCAAGGGGATTGTTTCAGTCCTTCGGCAAAGAACTACCCTCGAGTCGCCGCAGTTGGATGTAATAATTTGGCAACCAGATAGAACCACCAGAGAGGCAGTAGATCCTACCATTTCTGGTGCAACTGCGTCTGATAGGATTTCATTGTCAGTCCTCTCAAAGCCATTAGCAAGCACAGCTTCCCACCTTCTCCGCCATTCAGCGCCACCTGCGATTTCTCGGTCCCACTCCTCTGCTATAACATCGTGCATCCTCTTGGCACAAAATTTAGCCACCTAGGATTAAATTACCACAAAAGTTAGGAGAATGGTACTACTCATGATATATTAACTTCTTCTAGACGGCCATATATTTTCTGACTCAAAGGTGGACAAATGCATTCCAATAGAATCAAAGCATATAATGTAATTAAGAGGGGGGTAAAAAAAATTAGCCATGATGGGAAAATTTTGGACACAATTCAACACCAAAATGTTATCCTCTATAATGACCTCCACCGCCTCGCATTTTGGACAGGTATTACTCACGTTCATAATTCAGTTGCCCGATCTTAATCCATCTTTGATATCATAATTCTGAAATAGATAGTTGTAATATCAGTTACATCTACCATAAATTTAATACAATGCTAAAGAATCATTCAATCTAAAGAGGTATGCTATTTATTTAATGAGAAAATTCAATTAACCTCATATTTAGCATCACACCCACAGAGACCTTAATCTATAGAGGAGCACTTTTTTGGTGCAGCGGTGCACCGTAAAAGGAGTAAAAAAAAAGATTTAAATGGTAATAACTTAAAAAGATGAAATAAGTTATTTTAGCTATCTTTTTTTTCCTGCCTACTTTGTATATCACTCTCCAACACAATCTCAACAGAAGAAAGAAATGATAAATATAATTGAGATTCTGATCTAATGGTATTGGAGAATATTAAGCCAAGGTAAGTAAAAAAATAAAAAATAAATAGAATAACCTATCTCTAAAAAAATACCAAACAAAGTGAATTTTTTTTCTTATTTTGAAAAAAACATCAACTGCACAATAGACATGCTCATTCTTGCTTAAAAATGTACAAGAATGACGAGACTTACCACTTACAAAGTTTATCTTGTGAACTAACCTCCAACCCCAACGTTATATTATAGGCTCCTATTATTGAAGAAAAGATCAAAGAGAAATTCGTTGCATGATAGAGAGAAAGGTGCGCCTATAGGTACCTTGACGGCTTTTCTCTCTATTCGAACTTGTTCCTCAATTATTTAGGTAGCTACACATTCCAATGTAAAGAAGTGCAAGCCTCCATGCTTAGAAAATAACCCTTAATAATTGTAGAAAATCTAGAGCATGGAAGAACAGTCCATTGACCACCTATAAATGGGGGTAGAAATAAGAATTCTTATGTAGAACACTAGTATGTAAGTGTATTAGAAATTTTCTTCCAAAGAAGAGAGAGCATTCCTCCTTGTGAGAGATAAAACTTTGTATTCCATCCATCTTAGTGGGTGAGAAATTGAGAGTAATCCTCGATGTTGTGCTGGGGAAGATCATCATCCTATAATCCTACTTTAAAGAGTGGACATTTTCTAAACCAAGTCTTGTGATTTTTACTCCTCACATTGAGGGAGTTTTCCAAGTTAAGAACCTTACTATACCTTTCTCTTTTACACCGCTAACTTGCTAGATCCGATTTCCAAGTTTCGGGTTCATCGCTCGTACTGACGAATTTCGCGCTCACTAAACGTTCTTTAACCTAAGAATAATATCAGAGCTCGTAGATCAAGGGCTCTATGGAGATAGAGATGGAGGGCATTGAATGTTCAAACTCATCAAAGAAAATTACTCATATTGGAAGCCCATGATGGAGGACCACCTCTACTTCAAGAACCTAAATGAACCCATCCTGAGCACTGAGAAGACAGAAGATAAAGTGAAAAGAAATGGAAACACCTAAACCGAAAGATGATAGCCATGATCCAGAAATACATAGATTTTTTTTTTTCAAATATGTGTCGACCTACACTAATAAACTATGGACAAAGCTTGAATCTATGATTCAAAAGAAGACATCACGTAATAAAGCACACTAGGTGCATGAACTTGTTAAGCTAGAATACATGGACGAACAAAGTAGGATAGAGCACCTAAACACTTAAAAAAAATATAATAAATTCATTGACAAAAATTGATACGAAGATTAATGACGAGCTACAAGCTCTTCTACTCAGTACATTGTCGGAGAGTAGGGATACTCTAGTCGTAACACTTATAGAAACTTGGCTCCTGAGAGGGGGGGACTAACATTGGACTTGGTTGCAGATTCCTCCTAAATGAAGAATCCAAGAGGAGGGACCAGCCAATATGAGGCCAATGTTGTAGGAAATCGTGGAAGATCTAGGCACTGAGGATAGAGCAAAAGTCGAGGATGAGCAAATCTCAAGGTTGGTCAAGGTCAAAATCTAAGTTTGTTTGCTACTATTGTGTAAAGTTAGGTCATAGAAAGTTGGACTGCCAAGCTTTTAAAAAAGATTAGAAGAACGATAATGCCGAGGTCGATGTCTTTCTGGTGGTGAAGACAATTACCTTAACGTTGTGTATGTTGATTGTAGATTCATGAGCATCGCTCCATGTTATCTAACATGAAAGCTACTTCTCATCTTATAAAAGCGGGGACTTTGGAGTTGTCAAAATGGGAAACTGAGTCACAAACAAAATAGTTGGAATGAGCGAGGTCACCTTGATGACGGATGTAGGGTGAGGTTGTCAGGCGTGTGCCCGACATACCCCTCAACCTTATCTCAGCTAGAAAACTTGATGATATCGGGCTAGTAAGCTACTTCGCCTCATGCAAATGGAAACTCGTCATGGGCAATATGGTGATAGCCTGAGACAAGAAAGAATGATCCTTGTTTGTCACGTAAGGTAAAATCTATGGTGAAGTTAATGTTGTCCGAGAAGGATCCAACACGGAACTATGGCATACAAGACTTGACCATATGAGTGAGAAACAACTTTAAGTACTCACCAAGAATGGACTACTTCAAGGCTTGAAAGGGCAGCTTCAAGAGAAACACATACATTGTCTAGTCAGCAAGCAACATCGGGTATCAATCCTGAGGCTAGGGAGAAATTGAAGGCCTTCCGGGAAGACTTCTCTTGAAAGGCCAATGATTAGATTCTTCAAGCATCCAAAGGTTCTTTAAGCTTCCAAAGAGTTTCTTGCCCTTGTAGAATAAGAGACTGGGGAGAAATTGAAGTCCTTCCAGGAAGACAATAGAGGCAAGTACCAAGGTCAATTTGAGTTAAATTACAGGTCAACACAAATCAAAGAAGAGAAGACTCCTCTCAAGATGCCTTAGTTAAGCATAGTTGCAAAAAGAATGAACTGTACTATTGAGGAGCGGGTTCAAAGTATGTTGTCATATGTTAAACTTCCTAAGTCATTTTGGGGTGAAGCTGTAAAGACTATTATGGTGGACTTAGCAAATTTATCAACCTCTAGGACTCTAGAAGGAGAGATCCTAGAAGGAGTTTGGACAGGGAAACTAGCCTATTATGAACAACTGAAATTATTTAGATGTTGTGCATTTGTTCACATTCCAAAATATGAAAGAGCTAAACTGGATGCAAAACCCAAGGAATATACATACATTGGATCTTCGAGAAGTGAGTTTGGCTTCTAACTTTTAAACCCTGTTAATAGAAGAATTGTAAGAAGCTGAGATGTAGTCTTTTTTGAATATCAAATAATCGAAGACATTAAAAAGCCTTAGGTCCAGGTTACTTCTCACGATGATTTTGTACCTACTGCCCGAGTTGACATTAGGGGAGAACTAACATAAACAATAAATGAAGAAGTTGAAGAAAAAATGTTGAACCACTAGCAGAAGATGAGAAAGCTAAGACCGAACAAGTCCAACCTAAGAGCAATGAAGTCTAAGTTGATGAGTTGAACTCTCAACCTCAACCACAAAATTCGTTAATCCACCCGAAAAAGGCATCATTCCACTAGATGTCTTGTTGATGAATACATGGTAATTGCAGAAGGTGGGTAGCCCTAGAGTTATGAAGAAGAAAAGACGAATGTCAAGAACAAGGAATGAGAAAAGGCCATATAATAAGAAAAATGGAATACTTGTATGAGAATCACCCCTACAACTTGGTTGAGTTTCCCAAAGGAAGATGTGCTTTGAAAAATAAATGGATTTACAAAGTTAAAATTCATGAAAATCACCCAAGGCTGAGATACAAGGCCCGGATTGTAGTTAAAGGGTGAAATTAGAAGAAAAGGTTTTATTTTGAAGAAACATTCTCACTAATGTTGAAGATTACCTCTATTCAAGCTGTAGTCGGCATGGCGGCCTCAATTGATTTGTAGATTAAGCAATTAGATGTGAAAATGGCTTTTTTCATTAAGACTTGGAAGAAAAAATATACATGAACAACTTAATGGTTTTCAGGTGTCGGGTAAGGAACATGTAGTATATCGGCTCAAGAAAAGTCTCTACGGCAACAAGAACCAACATAGTGATACAAGAAATTTGACGTCTTCATGTCGGACAACAACTTCAAGAAGATTGAAGCTGACCACTATGTATTTGAAATGATGTTTGACAGTGAAGACTTCATAATTCTTTTGCTTTATGTTAACAACATGTTAATAGTTAGTCAGGATATGAAGAAGATTTGCGCTCTCAAGAAAACCTTGAGCATGTTCTTTGCCATGAAAGATCTCTGACGAGCAAAACAAATCCTTGGAATAAAAATCATCTGAGATTGTCCAAAGAAGCTATTGTGGCTATCTTAGGAGAAATACATTGAGAAGGTTTAACATGCACAAAGCCAAGTTGATAAGCACTCCTCTGATCGAACATATCAAGATAATTCAAAAGCAAAGTTCGACCAGTAGACAAAGAAAAAATGTTGAAGGTCCTATACTAGTCAATTATTGGCAGCCTTATATACACGATGGTATGCTCAACACTTGACCTTTCTCATGTTGTCGATCTTGTAAGTCAGATCCTTTCGAATTCAGGTAAGGGGCATTGGGTTGTTGTCAAGTGGGTATTCAAACATCTTATGAGTGTTGACAAGGCAACAAGAATCCTTGGCTTGGATGAAGTTTGAGATAACGCAAAACTCGGATAGCAGCATTATAGTGTTGTTGCTGAGGAGCTTGCATAAACTAGAATAGTGTGTGAATTACATAACATAGCTCAAGCCAAGTGATGGTCAAGTAGACAAGTCTCCCTACTAGACGACGATAGGCAGCAGC